GTACATTTGTTTAGTGCTGTGGCGCCCTCTATAGGACAATCCCCTGACGTAGGAGCTATAAACAGTAGCTGATGGACTTGTGTAGGTTTCTTGGCGTCCTGGAGTTCTACATTATGTAAAATGCCTTCAAAAGCACTTATCAAACCAGGAATACATGTAATTAGATAACATTTGATTTGTCATTAGCAGTTCCATCTAAAAGGGATTTGTGGCTGGTAAACTAGCATCCATTACAAACTGTCAACTCAGAACAGATCTAAATGGCTCTGTGTGGGCGTGAATGAGAAGCCAGGGTGCTTACCACTTCTTGAACCAGACTAATCAGCTCCATTAGCCGGTGCCGCAGCTTGGCCACCTCCTCGTTCACCTTTGTCACATGCTGCTCGTAGATCTCGGCCAGGGGTTTGAACGTATGACCTCCGTGCTGTGGAGAGGTGGAGGAGGAGATAAGCAAGTTCCTGTTTGAGACAAACTGACATTCATTCATATTAGGCACAGTATTATTCATTGATAATTTGCTCCTATGTGTGACCAGTCATGTTCTAGCACAACACATTTGGATCTGAGGAAATGACAATTCACCAGCCTGACTAATACGTTTTGAATTCAGAATTGCGTACCATGCCTCCCCACAGAGCGCACTGGTGACAGATGCACTTCTTACAAGTCCAGCAGAACACACTCAACTTCTCGTGATGGTTCTCACACCTGTTAAGGTGAGAAGAGAGAATCAGTGACAGTGAGTATTAATTCTACACTAATTGGGCACTTAGTCATCCCAGAAAATGAAAACCAAACATAAGCCAATGGTGCACCTTTTTTTCTATGTGAAAACATTTGACCATGCCTATTTTTCAGAGGAAAATTCAAATACTGTATGAAAAGCCATGATATAAATAATGTTGTAAACATTTGCGCTGTTAATATTTTTTGTAGAAACTGTGGTACAATTTTTAAGAATGTAAAAAAATAAAAATAAATAAACCCCCACACACACACACAGGTTTGTTTTTATGGTTTATGGGAACTCTCCATAGGCGTAATGGTTTTTATACTGTACAAACCGTATTTTCTATTGCCCTACACCAACCCTACCCCTAAACCTACCCCTCACAGGAAACTTTCTGCATTTTTAGATTTTCAAAAAACTTAATTCTGTATGATTTTAGGGATGCACCGATATGAAAATTTTGGCCGATACCGATAACCGATTATTCTTTATTTTTGAAAGCCGATAACCGATATGTTGGCCGATAAATCTATATCCAAATTGTTATATACTTTTTGAGAGCCTGATTACAAAAAAGGTCTCATCATTAAAAGCCACATCCCAAACACTTCAACATAAGCAGCCTAGTTTGAACGGTGTACGTTTTAAAAATATTTTTACTCTCCCATTACCAAATTTAGTCATAAAAAAAGTCTTACAAATAAATAAAATAATGCATAAATAATGCAAACAAGTCACTGGACATCATTACACATGTAAAGAATCAAAATGAATGCGCCACAGATCAATAAAACAGAATAGCCTCTGCACGGACAATAATTAAATGATTTTAATTACTAAACCATATTGTTGATGAAAATAATAAGAGAAAAATACAAGTGGTTGTTGTTATTAATAATATATCAATGATTTTGAAAAAGTAACAAATTAATACCACTGTTTTAAATAGCAGCCATTGAGCTGCAGCTCAAGCTGAAGCTGAAGAGCTGAATGAACACGGTAAACTGAAGCGTTTTGCTGGCAGCTTATTTAACTCAAGGAAATGCATCCTGAGATTAATATTAATACAACATAAACATAATATTACAACTTATATATGAAATGACAAATGACGCAGTTATTGCATGCTATAGTCAGAATGTGTGATCCTGTTGTGGATGCGCTCTTCCCATAACAACGCGCTGAAACACGGCAACTAAACCCAAAGAATTCACAACGTTTTATTATAATAATGTTCTCATTAGAATGTTATATACACGACATTCCCAATCATAGTTATTAATGTTGTGCACTGCTGTTTGAGCTGCGTGCGCTGAGCTAAAGACGATCACCGGTAAACTGAAGCGCTCTTTTAACTTAACCAAACGCATTCTATATGAGATAAATCAGATATACATCAAATAAACACAATATTACAACGTACAATTGCACAAAAGGCTGCAAACGAACAGCGCGCATCTGAAGTGTCTCTGAAGGAAATAATGCATTATTTATCGGCTTTAAGATATCGGCCAAATTTTCTTATCAGGCCGATACCGATAACAGAAAAAATGAGCAGATATCGATATGGTGGCCGATATATCGTGCATCCCTAAAAAATACAACTGTTAGTTCATGTTAGCTCAGGTCCTTTAAACAATATGAACAAATACGACGTTTGAGTTTAATAATGTATTAGTAAATGTTGAAATTAACTAAGATTAATGAAGGTTTTAGAAGTATTTGTGCTGTGGCGCCCTCTATAGGACAATCACCTGACACAGGATTCAAAAGTGAGCTATAAACAGTAGCTGATGGATTTGTGTGGGGTTCTTGAAGTCCTGGCGTTCTACATTATGTAAAACGCCTTCAAAAGCACTTGTCAAACCAGGAATACATGTAATTAGATAACATTTGATTTGTCATTAGCAGTTCCATCTAAAAGGGATTTGTGGCTGGTAAACTAGCATCCATTACAAACTGTCAACTCAGAACAGATCTAAATGGCTCTGTGTGGGCGTGAATGAGAAGCCAGGGTGCTTACCACTTCTTGAACCAGACTAATCAGCTCCATTAGCCGGTGCCGCAGCTTGGCCACCTCCTCGTTCACCTTTGTCACATGCTGCTCGTAGATCTCGGCCAGGGGTTTGAACGTATGACCTCCGTGCTGTGGAGAGGTGGAGGAGGAGATAAGCAAGTTCCTGTTTGAGACAAACTGACATTCATTCATATTAGGCACAGTATTATTCATTGATCATTTGCACTGATGTGTGACCAGTCATGTTTTATCACAACACAATTGGATCTGAGTAAAATGACATTGTATATGCAATCCACCAGCCTGACTAATATGTTTTGAATTCAGAATTGCATACCATGCCACCCCACAGAGCGCACTGGTGACAGATGCACTTCTTACAAGTCCAGCAGAACACACTCAACTTCTCATGATGGTTCTCACACCTGTTAAGGTGAGAAGAGAGAATCAGTGACAGTGAGTATTAATTCTACACTAATTGGTCACTTAGTCATCCCAGAAAATGAAAACCAAACATAAGCCAATGGTGCACCTTTTTTTCTATGTGAAAACATTTGACCATGCCTATTTTTCAGAGGAAAATTCAAATACTGTATGAAAAGCCATGATATAAATAATGTTGTAAACATTTGCGCTGTTAATATTTTTTGTAGAAACTGTGGTACAATTTTTAAGAATGTAAAAAAATAAAAATAAATAAACCCCCTGAAGTGTCTCTGAAGGAAATAATGCATTATTTATCGGCTTTAAGATATCGGCCAAATTTTCTTATCAGGCCGATACCGATAACAGAAAAAATGAGCCGATATGGGCCGATACCGATATGGTGGCCGATATATCGTGCATCCCTATATGATTTATAAGCTTTTGTACCCGTGGGGACCACAATTTCGGTCCCCACCGTGACACGAGTCCCCATGAGTCTGTGTGTAGTCAGGTTTAAGTCCCCACCAGGATATACAAACCAGTGCACACACACACACACCCGAATAGACATTTTTAACATTACAAAGTCTTTACGGTTACTTTTGATCAGTTTAATGCATCCTTGCTGAATAAAATTATTAATTTCTTTCTTTAAAAAAGAAAAAAATACCTTACTGACCCCAAACTTTTGAACAGTATTGTATATATTGCACATTTAATATTATATATAGTTATTCCACAGGGTCAAAAGTGCCCATGGTACACTGTACTGCAGCTGTCAAGACTGTATTAATATTCAGTATTACACACTTGTCTTTGTCGTTCTCCTCATGTTTTGTGAGGTTGCAGAGCTGCAGTGTGTCCAGTTGTTGAGTCACTTCCTCTGCCCAGCGACAGTTGACCAGTTCCCTCAGCTGAAGCGGAGCTCTGAATACAACACCAGTTTGATTAGCAAAAAGAACCATATACATGTTTGTTAATATTACTTTTTTTTTTTTTTTTTAGAATAGAGAGAGGAGAGAGGATTAAGACTGGTTATTCATGTTTTGTTATTTTTTTTTTTTTTTTTTTTTTTAGAATAGAGAGAGGAGAGAGGATTAAGACTGGTATACATGCTGGCTTAAAGTTGATTCTATAAAAATAGATGTGCCAGCACTCCAGATAAAGGAGTTTTTGTTTGAGCTTTAATTATAAAGCTGTGGTTTGAACACACTTCAAACTGCTTTGGCAATTATGCAAGTGTGTTTCTATTGCCAAATATCAGGTGGCTCTGGTCCAGCCGTCTAAAGTTTTTTTTTGGATGCGGTTCCCTTAATGTAACTAATCAGTGCTTCCCTGAAATGATCTCATTCTGTAAACTCTAACAATAGAAAAATCAATACTTAATCCTCTAGATTTACCTCAAAGACTGTCAGAGCTCAAAACATCATTTGAATTTGAACCTCAGAACTTACCGACAGTGGGGACACTGAGCTCTCTGTTCAGTCAGCCATCGCTGCCAGGAAGAAAACAGAAGAGCAAAATGTACTCATTTATAAATGCTACCTTGTATTAGCCTCTGAATCAATAAGAGGTCAATTATTAAAATACATGATGTGTTTTATTAGTGGGATTCTTCCCAACATGGCACACTTGGAAAGCATTTAAAAACATCTACACTGCTCATTACTTAAAGTGTTTTGGCAAAAACAACTGAAATATATCTCTCAGATCTCAAGTGAAATGTGACGTGTATAATATTTGTGTATGATAATAATAATAATATTAAACACGCTTTAAAAACCTTATTCAAACAAATCCTCAATATATGAATTTAGTCATGTCCTGTCAAGCTGACACAATAAAGACAGCACAGAGAGCGTTGATTAATTAGACAGACACTGTGAGCTCCTCTAGGCTGTGTGTAGTATGATCATTGTGCTGTTAATGAATGTGTATGCATGTGTTTGCTCACCCGGGAGTCTTGAAGGGTTGCAGAAACGTGTGATGTACTGGATGTTGGACTGCAGCCGTGGCGGGTTGGCCTTCAACACAATATAGATGAGGGTGGGAAGGAAGTCATCTGCAGAAGCTGGTTCGTTCTTGGTGACCCTGATGGCACTGAATATATGCTTGCTGCAACTGGTGATGCAGGCCAGTTTATCCCTGGGCACACGCTTAGGGTCCATCTCAATGATATCTGAGGTAGACAAAATAAGATGAAAAAAATCTTGCATCTTGATGGAAGAAAAAACAAAAGCAGCAACTAAAAGAGAAAATAGAACCATCCTTGCAGACTCACCAGTGATGGCTTTGACTACACTATCAGAGACCTCAGGGATCTCTTCATCCACAGGAACACACAACATCTGAATGGTGACCCAGTGTAATGCCCTGGAAAAGCATTATTTAACGAATAAATCAAGAATGCAGATTTTAAAGGTGAATGGTGTAAAAGAATAATACCTATTTGAGGAATTTTCATGTACAAACAGCAAGTTAACACTGATATGGAGCATGTTGTTAAAATATCAATATTAAATGTAAAACAAAAATTCTAAATATTATTTTGGTAACTAACTGAAATAAGTTTAAGCTAAAGTACTAAAATTACTAAAACTAACACTGAAATAAAAATAAAGCTAAAACCTAATTTAAAATATTAATAAAATACTCTAATAGCATATAAACAATACTAAACACTGGCTGACCGAATCCTGTGCTGGGTAGCCAGGTCTTTTTTCTCATCATCTGAGGTCTCTGGACAGAAGACGCTCTTGTAGAGTCGAGTCATGATGTATTTTTCCACTTGGTCCATTACTCTGTCCACTTTCTCAGAGGAGCCTGAGGAAAGAGGAGCCACCTGAGGTTTATATTGGCAAAAAAATAATTCATTTGGCTTCTGGCAAACGATTGTAAACCATAAAAACTTAAAGTATATATGTACAAAAATGTAAATAATCATTATGGTCCAATCACAGCATTCTACAGAGGACAGCTGCTTCTACTCATATACAACAAAAAAATCCTTTAGATACCTCACATACTTGTCTCTCACAAACAAATATGAAATCAGTTTATTACATAACCCCACTCCCACATCAACATGCTCGCTGGGACAACAATGAAGTTTCTTAGGTGGTTAGCAGACATGTTTGCCCCAGTGTTGTTAACGAAAACTATTAGAAATTGTTCTTGTTAACTGAAATAAAGTAAAATATAAATATTAGATTAAAAACAAACAAAAAAAATATACAGAGAGAGGGAGAGTTTTTTGTTTTTGCAACTGAATTTAAAAAGTTCACGTTTAAGTAAAATTACTAACTGAATTAAAAACAAATTAAAAATGAAACTTAAAATAAATAATGACATAATTAAATCACAAAAGTTACAATTTAAATAAACAAAAACAAAAAAAATGACTAAGACTAATATTAAACCAGAACTGATATGAGCCATTTACAACCTTTTTAAAAATCAGGTTCAGTCAAACATTTTTCAAACAAAATAATTAAACATTTTCATAGATCATTTATAAATCTGTCATGCTCTAAAACAGAGGTGACCAAACTTTTTAGTACGAGGGACCAAAAATCTAATTTGATTGAGGGCTGTGGGCTAAAAGTAAATGCATTATGAAAGGTCAAGACAGGCCCTGGTTTGGACATTTCTGCTCTAAAAAATGTTTTATGCTGCAAAATGCTTCAAATGGACTACACTGGACTGCAATCTCACTAATTTTAATGTCCCAGCCTGACAATATTTAACTATTTTTTAATTACCAATGAAGAGGTTTCATTTTGTATATACCCTTGTTTCCCAAACAAACCTGCTTCCCTTAACAATTGAGCCCGACTACATACAAAACACAACCATTTTTGGTAATCTTTTTTAAAATACCATTACACAAAACAACCAGTCAGCAGATGAATCAGATTTAGTATTCACTCTAATGGATTCAGTGAGCATTTCATTTAAACAATTCAAACCATTTGAAACTTTGACCAATTCAGTGCTGCGAAGTTTCTCCGAAGCATGAATTCTACCTTTAAAATGATTCAAGAGTCGGTCAGACATGCCCTGATAGAAGTCCTGCACACACTCTGACAGTTCTTCAGCACTGAGATCCTTCAAATAAGAACAAAAACAAAAGAATGTGTTTACTTAAATGATTAACATCCAAAAGTTGCTGTGGGCAGGTGACCCTGGTTCTCACCTTTTTATTTCCCATGCTCTCTATGAAACCACGGCTCTGCTTGTGGATCTCTCTGCCGGGCTTCTGTAAGGTCTTGAGAAACTCCACAAAGTCTCGTGACACGCGATCAGTCTCGATGCTGGACTGGCGGGTAATGGAGGGACTGGGCGTTTTTCCCTCGTGGCTTTCTGAGGAACACAAATAAGCGAACAGAATGTTTACAAACAGGTTGTATGAACATACTGTAAAGAGGATATTACAATGGATCGCATGAAAATGGAAGTTCAGAAGTTAGTTTTCATCACAGAATGTCATGTGAAATTAAGTAATAATTTCCTATCATTCTTACAACAACTGAAGCAGCCAATCATCTTCAAGAAACAGTTTCTAAGGCTGAATTACACGTGACATTCTGCACAGAATGAAAAATAAAAACACTGAATAAACAACATAACATGTTAAATACTGAATATTCACAAGCTGACTTGCATTCCATGAAGAGACAGAACAACCTTCTCAGAAGTAGGCCATTCTACTGAAATATTGATCTGTTACCATGCCAACCCCTTTGACATCAGATCAGAGTCAAAGACAGTAATAGAGTAGCTGAATGAATTAAAAGAGAATTCTGGTACCAGCATGCTTTGGCTAAACTCTACACAAACAGATGTTCTAAATGCTGTTGGCACCTGTCTTTCTAAACGCCCCATTGACAGTAATAGAGCGTTAGAAGGGTTTCAGCCTGAATGCATGCAGCTCATATATAACACTGATGCATTGGTTTGTTTTCTGTGATTTATGCTGGAGGGCTACAGTGATGTGGCACTAATACCCACCTCTCAGCCTTGATACCAGAGCTGCCACCAGATTGACAAGAAAAAAGAGGAGGACGCATGACAATGAGACAGTGAACATGAAAAAAATGGTAGGGTGAATTCAATCATGTCTATTGACGCACACGCAACAAATACACACTACACTATGGTATGGATCAGGGCAGTATGTCACAAAGAACAGCTAAAGGGGAACATAAAATAATAGCTGTACTTTGTGAAATACTTTTAGCAAAGATACTCTCTTCAACACAGAACATCAAATCACACAAAAAACAGTGGTCCACCTAAGAGAAGACAAACACTGCTATCTCCACCTACGTTCCTTCTCAGAACCCTAGATTTTCCTTCAGGCTCTGTCTGTTACCTTCAGTGGGAGAGGCCATCTCCCAGGGTTGGGTAAAAATTCCCTTCAGATCCCTCAGGAGGTTTTCTCCATGGCTCTCCCTCCTGCCCTGCAACTTCTCCTCTTTCTCTCTTTCTTTTTCAGGGGGGACTAAAACACCCAGGGTAGGTAATGGAAATGGGTGAAAGGGGTGAAATGGATGAAAAATGTGGCAACAGAGGAGTTCAGATGAGAATATAAAGTGAAAAAGAGAGAGAAAATTGTGGGAGAGGTGGGGCGGAGATCAGACAGAACGGCAGAACAGCAACGAGAACAGCAACGAGATGAAGGAAACAAACTGAGAGATGAAGGGCGGATCACTTCAAATGATAATTCAAATAAAATCATCTTATAAGAACATGATAGACAAATGATAAAATCGTATGATAGCAAATGAATATATAACCGTATCAAATCAAGCAAGGATGGCTTACATAACCGTTGAAAAGTTTGGGGTCAGTAAAAAAACAAACAAAAAAAAACGTAAGCAAGAATGCATTAAAATGATCAAAGTTGACAGTGAAGTCATGTTAAAAATGATTTCTATTTCAAATAAATGCTGTTTATTTTAACTTTCTATTCATCATACAATCCTAAAAAATATATAAGAAAAATATGAACTGTTTTCAACATTGTTTCTTGAGCACCAAATCAGCACTTTAGAATGATTTCTGAAGGATCATGTGACACTGAAGGCTGCTGAAAATCAACTTTGCCATCACAGGAATAAATTATATTTAAAAATATAATGAAAAGTTAATTTGCAAAAACCCGATAAACGCCACTTTAAAAAAAAAAGAGCTGAGTGCTGTGCATTATTCTCCACATATAGCGTGATCTGAACCCTAAATGCGTTTTGTCAAAAAAGCTGGTTTTGTCCACTTTCACGGCATCGCAAGTTCACGTTTTACTGCAGAAGCTGACAAGCGCCCTTGTTGTTTTTGAACAGAAGCCGATAAGTCCATTTTAGCGAATCAGCGCGCTGTATTCAGGTCAGGTGACAAGGCTACTTTCACTTTGAAAAGACGTGCTAGCTGAGAGGAGTTTCGTCAAAGCTGACTAAAAGCAATCGAGGATGGATTATTTCGACGAACTTGATGAACCTGTGATATCTTCTTCAGGGTGAAAAAGGAAAATAAAAGCCTAAACGTTTTCACGTAACCTTGCAAAAGCAGCGCGTTACAATGGTGAAGGAAAAGCTCCGTGTATTCACATCCATACAGTTTATGATCACAACAACAACAATGTTTGTCAGGCATCTACATTGTCATCTGAGGAGATTACAAAGATTAAACGAGTGTTTTTTTAAAACTCTAGTCTAAAACATGAGGAGTTATCTGCTTTTGCGATAAAACAAACTTTTAATTAGTGGTCGACCGATATATCGGCCGATATTTGGAATTTATCAAATATCGGCATCGTTTTCTGTTTGGCCGATGTGTTTGAGGCAGGACCTTTGTTTTGATGGCGCTGAGAACAGCAGTGCCTGAGCGCACACCACTCACATTCTCCCTCTTGTTCGCTGTCGTCGTTCAGTTCTGTCTAATATGGATAGAAGTCTATCAAATAATCAGATAGAACTGTTAAACAAAGGAATTAAATTGTATACAAAAAGTATTATAACGATTGCTTTAATATTATTAGTAATAGAAAGGCAAACATTATAATACTTTCTCGTTTGCCGTCAGCATTCAGCAAATACGCATTTATATAATTTAAACAAATCTTTGAATGACTAATGAACATTTAAATTCACAAACCTTGCAGACTTAGTCGAATCTAGTTGAGATCCTGTCAAGTGTGCATTTGTATCCTGCGTGATCGCGTGCTTTCTGCATGACGGTCGGTCCGTGCGAATTGAATACGGACAGGAGGCGAGTTCAGCTTCACTGGAGACGCGCGATCTACAAACTTTAAACTAGTGATTTCAAAATATGCTGCAATTTATGCATTTGCCCACTGTCATATCCATGTCATTTTCATTACGTGCTGTATGTAAAATGAGTGTTACCTTGGCTTTATTTGAAAAAAATATATGATTCCCAATGCACACAAAATGAATACTGAGTGCCCTGTTGGTTACAGTGTTTACTTCCTTTTTAATTCGATTTTTATTAAATATTTATTTATTTGTGAAAAAAGCTTTGTCTTTTAAAGTATAAGCACAATTATTTTTAATCCATTTTCAAATGATTTCAAATTTCTTAAATATAAATTAAAATAAAAAACATTATATCGGTCACCCTGCTTGCCAAGATATCGGCATCGGCTGTCAAAAAACCCATATCGGTTGACCACTACTTTTAATATGTAAAAAAAAACATACTTTCAATGAACTTTAATTTTGTAAATTACCTGTATTTGATTAAGTTATTATTACTTAATCAAAACAACCCAACTGCAGTTTGATTGATATTACTTGGAATGCGCAACAAAAAAAACGTGATTTCTGAAAAAAAATGGAGTTATCGGTTTTTGCAAATTAACTCTTCATATATTAAAAAAGAAAACTTTTCACAAAATAATAAGTTTTTACTTTATCTTTGATCAAATAAATGCAACCTTGGTAAGCAAAAGAGATTATAAAAAACTGTACTGATCCCACTGAACTTTTAAACGGCCTACACTTGATGTTTCAATGATAAAGCCTTTTAATTACCAACATTCAGGTCCATTAAAATAATATTAAACTAGCATAAATTACAAATTGCCGTTTGGATGTTGCATGCAGACAGTTTAAGGCTTTATCAGAGAGATGCCATCCAATGGTAAAATCAAACTGGGACTATGTATGATGATGATAAGGGCAGACATTTGCATATGAAAAGCATGATTTCCAAAAAAAATCCAGAAGCAAAGGTATGTGTGTTTTTCTATTTTGGGCTCTAAGGGAAAAGTGGCGATGAAGGGAAAATCTACAGCCCTGACACAACATGTGAAGCTCCACTGTATTTCAAATCAGTTTTCACTTGTCCAACCAAATATAATATTCATAAAGCATATTTGATAAGAGCAAATAATAATTTTGTCCATCCAGTCCAGGACATTAGCAGTGGAATCCTACTGCAAAACAACACCAATCACACTCATATCGCTCCAATCCCACCCTCCTTGTACCTTTTTTAGGGGCCGTGCGAGAGGAGGGGCTGAAGAACTTCTTTACGGTGGTGACCTTACGGGTCTTCTCATTGGTTTTCTTCTCCTCAAACTTAGAGAAGGTGGCGAGAGAGTGCTGAGACTGGGACTGTGGAGGCTGGGTCTGAGAGGAACTGTGACTGCTGACATAAGCTGCCTCCTCTTCTCGCTGCAGCCTGTGACAGGAAGCACATCATTACGGCATTCTTTCTGCTTTATGAATGTCTTGATGATGCTGAAAGACTTCATGCGTGATCTAACTGCCGTTTAAGACTCACTTCTCAGCCAGAGCCCAGTCCTCCTGGATCTGTCTCTGCCGAGCTCTCTGGTACTCCTCCCTCCAGCACTTGGAGCATAGGCCCTGCCATGCAGCGTTGCCATAGTAACCACAGCCTTTCTTACACAGTAGTTCTGATTGGTCCACATGGATCCCCCGTCGCTCTGAGCGCTGACTCATAGTGTCCCTTTTATCTAGGTAAAGAAACATGTTTGACATTGTGATCTGAATTTGCATATCCGCTCTGCAAATCATGCAGCAAGACAACAGGAGTCGGGTTACATAACATGCAACTTTTACAGAACACACCACAGATGTCAACACTGCCATTTAAACGAGATAAGATGACTCATGTAAAGACTTTGAGCAGACCTGAAAATGAAACTATGTGAATATCAGATATTCATACTTAGATTTATATTTCAGAGCTGAAGGGCAAGTAAAATATCGAAATGCATAGTTTTAATAACTATACGGGGGGAGGATGTCCCTGTTAATCTGAATGTACCTAACATTAAACCCCTGATTTCTAAATTCCACTGAGAATGATTAAACAACCAATGACGCACTAAATCTCAATCAAAATGAAAAAGTGAGCAGTTCAGACGTGCTTGATCTGGTGTCTTTATAGTTTCATTGAACACTCTGATCAACATATTTTAACACTGATGGCATGACCTTAAATTCCGAGTATTACATATACTGACTTCGTTCAATGCCGGAATGTTGTAGCTTAAACATTCATTAATTGTCTAATAGATGGTTGACTTTAAAAGTAACCTAGAAAATACATTATCGACTGAAAATAGCATCGAATATCATTCAATCCGCCGCAGGCAGACTCGTCAAGCTAGCAAAACAGCTACGTGGCTAAAAACAAACGCAACGGCTCATTGTCAACAAGATATACGATAAATATGCATTACTAGTCTAATGAGATACACAAAACATTTAAAACAACGGCAAGCTTTGCTATGTAAAGTTAATCTACAGGACAGCGACAGATACCTCGTCAGCGGTCTCTTCTCCAGGGTCACAATTACATCATATCCTCGCGACTGGTGTATGGGTTGTGTGGGCGTGGCTAAATGTGGGCGGGGCTCGGAATGTCAACAACATTCCCCATGACAAATACCGCGCATTCATCATCTTCTGTACTTTGGTTTTGTTTACTAAACTGATAAATGAAGCATTATTATGAACGTTTAAATGTGACAAAAAGGATCTGCTTTTAAGAAATTGCAAAATATATAGTTTATTATCAGCACAATAAGAGCCAGTACAATAATGCAATACAAACGACGGTATTCACCAAATGTACAACCGAGAACAAATATGCATCGGTTTAGACTTGAGCAACATAAAGTAAACTGGGCAAGACTGAAAATAAATCCCAGTTAGGATTATCAAAAGCATTTCAACTGGTTTTAGATATTCTGCTGCCAAAACAGAGAGCTCATGCAACTTCATGAGGCTTTCACAGCCCTCACCAATGAGAGGCAGAGGTTTCAGATGACTAAAATAACAAATAATGCTAAATCATATGCAGTTGTTGAGGGATATGGCAAATAAAAGCATGGACAAATGCTTTTGGCAGCAGAAAATAACTTCATAAAGTATCAAAGTAGCAAAATAGGCAATCTAACCTGCAATAAAATGGCTAACAGTCTTTTAGTATCATTTTAAATATACTCCTTTGAATTCATATTCAGGACATATTAAATCTAGCTCATAAACTTATTCTAAAAAAAGAAAAAATCTATTTTGGGTTCTCCTTTGAGAACAGTTTATTTATTGTCATAAATCAAAACTTTTATGCTTGCCTAGAGATGTGTGGTTATTTTAGAAGGCTTTATGTGAAGCTTTGAGTGGCTGTAAATACCAGACAAGACCTCTGTATTCTTGCTAAAGTCAGTATCTGCTGAGATTGCATGATCTAAGGTGTATATTATTGGCAACATGACTCAGATCAGGTCCTACATATATAATTCATGTAAAACAAATCATTTTAAAATACTGTAGGGAAAAAAAAGTTTCCTTCTTAAGAAATACATCACAAACAATTTCCGAATATGGGTCCAGTGCACTGATTCTTCGATCAAACTGTTAATACATTCAATACATCTAACACAGAAACATACTTAAGATATGTCCCATTTAGAACAGAAAACACTGTTTCACAGAAGTTCACTTCCTCTGAGGACGATTCCAGAAAATCCCTTTAGAACTACAACTGGACGAAACGATTCCGGGTTTATTCTAAACAAACTAAGTTAAACAATTACTTACAAAATCTAAGGAATCAATAGAGCTGCCCATAAAATAAATTTGGGGTTGCAAACTGCAGTTTCATGAAGAAACAAAAGAGCAAATGCCACAATAACAGCCATCTTATTCAAAAGCTTGTCATTATTTCCGCTCATTTCCTACATAGAGTAGGACTCTATGATCCTGCTGGTTTCATGTAACTGTAGACAGCAGCAAACATCATTTGCTCAGACTTGCGTTTATTAGTTCTTGGCAAAAGAAACACCAGCTAAAACACCTCACCTTCACCACCAGGTGATTTTAAACTCATAGATTGGCCTTTTGCAGTAGTAGTGGTTGATGAGGTGTTTGTCACACACGCCAATGCATTGCTGGTCAGCAGAGATGCCACGCTCTGCCAGGTCGCTTACTATGCAGTGAAGAAGGTCATAAACATCTGCCACTGCCTCCCAGGGCCCGAAGGACACGTCAACCTCACAATGGTGCTCAAACAGCTTGGCCTCACTCTCCGAGCGCTCAAATCGTAGCGAATTGAACAGCGGTCTTTCATAAGGGGTGATGGGCATCTCCTCCTTGTACACACAGATCTTCAGTTTCGCAAAACGAGCCTTCCGCTGCATGGCACGAAGTTTTGCAATCTCCACAATGCGCTCAAGATTTTCTGGAAGAAAAGGGGACAATTGTTTAGTCAGCTGAAAACCCCACCCCGCCTTATTATTTTTATTTATAATTTTATACTACCTTTATAATAGGGCAAAAGATCAAGAAAAGCCTGTCGCACTTTCTCTCCAGTAAGTGGCTGAGTGTCTTCCAGACTTTCCAAAAGAGGCCCAATAGCATAATACTGCGCTTCTCTGTGCACCGCACGAACACGGTCCCTCTGAGGCAGCTCTCCCTCTCGCAAGAAATTCAGAATGTCCCTAATGCCAGACAAGTATGTATAAGCGTTTCTAATAAGCATCATATCAAGCAGTTATTTAAGTAATCCACTGATGAAATAATAAAGCAAATGCTAAATTCAGATAATCAAAATGTTTGCTTTGTATTTTTGGGTACTAGACACCAACCATTATCAGATATTCTCTAATCTAAACACTTACCCAAAATATGCTCCGTCTCGGTCGATGAAATATCGTCCCTCTGCATCCCTGGGTATGTGGTGACGGCCACTAAACATGGCGGCCAGCATTGTGTCCTCATAACGTTGCAGGGTGGACAGCCGAGTGGTGAAATATGTACCTCCTACATTCAGGGGGATGACCTCTGGGAACTACGGAGAGAGAGGAGCAACACAAATAGCCTTTTACATTAGTCTGAATGTACACTAACGCTCAAAAGTTTGGGGTCGATAAGAATCTTTTATGTTTTAAGTCTCTTATGCTCACCTAGAATGCATTTATTTGATTTAAAATGTTGAAATATTACTAAATATGCATGCGTGCTGCGTCGTGGTACTGTCGTGAATGTGCATTGCATGCTGACATGGAGGTGAAGAAACTGTATGTTAAGTTGTTATTTTTTGTTTTCTTCGTGCACAAAAAGTGTTCTTGTATCTTGTATGTCACATGAACTATTTTAACAATGTCCTTGTTACCTTTCTGGGCCTTGAACGTGGAAGTTCTATTGCTGTCTATGCAGGGTCAGAAAACTCTCGGATTTCATCAAAATGATCTTAATTTGTGTTCCGAAGAAGAACGAAGGTCTTACAGGCTTGAAACGACATGAGGGCGAGTAATTAACGACAGAATTTTCATTTCTAAGTGAACTATCCCTTTAAAGGTCACATGATCCTTCGTAAATTATTCTAATGCTGATTTGGTGCACAAGAAACATGGATGCATTTTTAGGATTCTTTGATGAATATAAAGTTCAAGGGAGCAGAATTTTTTACTGTCACTTTTGATCATTCATGCTTTCTTACTGAATAAAAAGATTTTTTCCAAAACAAAAAAAACCTGCCACAAACTTTTGAACGGTAGTGTATATATGATAAGACATATCACTGTACTAAAAGTTATAGTTATGCACAGTAACTTTTTAACTATCTACTAGCAATGCAGGATCAGTCCCCTCCCAAGTTCATTTGAATGCTGTTACATGTTTAAAATCTCTTAAAGCCCGTTGGCAACAATGATAAACAAAGGTGTTAGACTAATCATATTACACATCTTGACAGGTCACGCTGGGTTTATCAGTAGAAGTCTGCAGTGACACCTTTAACACAGACCTTGCGAAACACGATTAGTTTAATCCAGTCGATATGATTTGATAGACGTGTGGTGTGAACCAATCAGAAACGACGTCCACCCGCCCCACTGGGATAAAGCACCAATCCGCTTGCAGCAATCGGGAGGCAAACACGCCCATTACATCTGTTGCCTATGGAAACGGTTATGATTGAGCATGAGAAGCTGGGAAACTTTGACACGGCTCCTCCAGATGATCTTTTGGAAAAAATAACATTAAGGGGGCGAAACACAGATGAACGTGGAAGTTTTAACTCGCATTTAACTTCTATGCAGCATACTACAACTACTCCGTTATAAAAATAGAACATCCTCTTTAAACCTCGGGGACTTACCTCCTCAGGTGCGTCTAAGGTGCGCAGGGACTTCCCTAGATTAAGGTTAGGGACAGCTATGGCTGGTTTGCGATACTCCTCTTCCCCGGTGTCCGCGCCCGACATCGCATCTCCCTGTTTCTCAGCGTCACTCGCAGCCGAAAACACCACCATTACTCTCGGCTGAGGAGGGACCGTCCGCCCCTCCTGCGCGAACCTCCTCACCCGTGATGTTGCCATTTGAAGCGGAGCTGCTGCGCTAAAGGAAAGCGGAGGCGGCTCTCCGTTCGGGGTTTCGCCTGCTCCATTATGCTGCATGCACACACCCACAGCAGGTCTGACACGAGCGTCGATCGAGGCCCGCACGCAGACTGTGGGCGACTGTTATGATGTCCAGGAGGACGGCCGAGCGAGAGGTGTGGTCTGTGGGCTGGTCAGGTGGATGTGAGGCTGCTCGCGTGCGCTGGAAATCACGTACGCAAGTTACGTAGGTGACAGCGTGCTGCTGGAATGTTTTCTGCTGTGCGCTCCGCTACAGGCGTAAACATGAACAGAGATTTATAAACGTGCGTAACTTGAGTACATGCACGCAGTTCATCAGGCGTCACTTTTATGTAGGGCAGAGTTGAGATTAGTTACATATTTATAGTAAATATAAATATAAAACTGCTAATAATGCACACGACAAATTTGCTGCTGGAATGTTTTCTGCTGTGCGCTCCGCTACAGGCGTAAACATGAACAGAGATTTATAAACGTGCGTAACTTGAGTACATGCACGCAGTTCATCAGGCGTCACTTTTATGTAGGGCAGAGTTGAGATTAGTTACATATTTATAGTAAATATAAATATAAAACTGCTAATAATGCACACGACACAATACAATTTGCAATCACAGAAATAGCCGTATAAATATGCATTCACTGACTTTGAAGGGCAAATGATATAGCATACAATATGTGTTTTATTTATTTAGTCATTTAGCAGACGCTTTTATCCAAAGCGACTTACAAATGAGGATTTGAATGAGTTGTGAATTGAGTGGTTCCAGAATAGTTGTTAGTATTTGGCAAGCAGAATGACTTAAGTGTTTATGTGTGGCCCCAGTAATGTAATAACATTTATAATGTTCATTTGAACTAAACATAATTTTAATACTGTCATTTCTTATGTCCTCAGAACAGCTGAAATAACGGAATTTGCTATACAATTAAATGTCTACAATTACATTATCTGCGAAAATGCAGGGATTAATGTGCATTAATAATACTTCAAATGATTGTGTCCATTGAGTTACTGTCCACTTTATGTCCTGATACGTGCACCACTACTAGTTAAAATAAATACATAAATAAAAATAGGTTTCATTTTTAAAACTACAGAAGGAACTGAATTTTTAGGAATGACTCTAATACTACAGTATCTGCACTGTTTATTATGTAATCATTATAACGTACCAACAACCTTAACGCCCCACCAATCTCTTGCCTGGAAATATTCTTCTCGCACGGGATTGGCCAAATTTCACGCAACCTGAAAAGAAGCTAAATTCTGATTGGCCAATTTGCCGTGAACGGAAACGGATGAGGCATTCTTCAGTTGATCTCTGCGCAATGGCGGAGGTCAGACTGCGGTTCGGGAGAGGGGCTTACAAGCTTTTAAAACCGAAATATCTCCCGCTTTTGGATAAAGACGGTAAACCGGCAGCTTATGTTGCAGCTTTAATAAATTCACCACAGCTCTGTGAGATTCCTAATGACCGGGAGGAAGCAGCTAAAAGACCGGCAGCTCTGGAGACTCCAGAAGGGACTGTAAACGCGCTCTTTACCTGTGCTTGTGGCGATGCAAACAGCGTGAAAGTGCCGCTGGACCGCCATTCTGGAAATGTTAGTAACGTTACATGCACTGACCGCCATGGATCGAACTCTAAGGCATCTCCAGTTCATGTGTCCTCCTGGAGGAGCTCGTGTTTGGGAACTCATGGAAACCTCCCTCTGCTGTCCAGCCATACTGGCACAAACTTTAAGCGCCAGTTAAGTAGGTCCAACTATAAAAAGACTCTTTATGGGCCCCCAAATGATTATTTATGGCAGTTTATGTCTTTAACCAGAGCTTATAGTGGCACACAGGGTAAAGGCAGCCCATTATACAAATCAAAGTCTGCTTATTATGATATTTTGGAAGTTTCTCCAACCGCCACGCACGCACAAATCAAGACTGCCTACTATAAACAGTCCTTCATATATCACCCAGACAAGAACGCAGGGAGCGAAGATCAGCGAGGCGTACAGCGTCCTGGGTAATAAAGCTCTGAGGAGGAAATACGACCGTGGGATCCTGAGTCGAGCTGACCTGCAGGGAGCCAGAGAGAGTCCAGCACCAGGACAGCAGAGCAGAACCCGACACTCCCCGTCTGTTGGAGCCACCCAGCAGAACATCTTCGACTTTGATGCCTTCATCAGATCACACTATGGAGAACAGCTGAAGAGAGAGCAGGAGATCCGGCAGCGCAGAGAAGAGATCACCAGGAAGGAGGAGCTGGTTGAGGACATACAACTGGGCAGGATGAAGGAGATAGCTGTAGGGATGATGCTGGCTATGGTGGCGATGATCTTATTTAGCCTGAAGTCTAGCAAGTGAGGAAGACACAGGGATACTTGAAGCATATCTCACATCTGAACAGTTAAAACTTGGTTTTGTTTACAAAAAAAAAAAAGTGCAGACACAAACATATTGTACGGATGTCATATTTACCTTTCCTCCCAGATGTTGCCACAAACCCTACTTCAGTAAAATTATAACTGATTTACATAAGGGGTATGTTGAAATTAGGGAATGGTTTTGCAAAACAAAAACAACTTGACTTTTTTAATAATAAAAAATATATATTATATAAATCAATTTTTTTTGCAAAACCATTTTCTAATTTCAATATACCCCTTATGTAAATCAGTTATAATTTTACTGAAGTAGGGTTTGTTTTATACTGTACACCCCAACACACACCATTAGTACAACCATTGGTACTAATAAAAACCATCATAAATCTATACTGGATTTTATTAGAATAGTCTAAATCAGTCTTATATTAATATATATACACACTATTTGAAAATTAAATAAAACATTACTCGCATCCCCAGTCTTGTTTTATTTTTGTATAATATTAATCTATATTTTATAAATTAAATTTTAGAAAATAAAACCGGACTCCGCTATTTGAATAAGATCCTGTATAGATTCAAGTGTGTGTGTGTGTGTAAAACAAGACAGATTCAGAGTATTTGATCCTAAATGTTTTAGTTTAAGGTAATATGTCTGAAAATGGTTTATCTATCATAATGAATGCCACTGTATCTATCTCATCTGTTAAACTGTATTCAAAGTAACATGACTTGTGTAGGTATGGAGCATAAGCATTTAAACGGCTAGTAAGCACTGATGGCATTATTTTGCATAAAGGGCTTTGGTAAAAACAGGCACTGGTTTATTATTATTATTTGTCTGACCTCACTTCACCCGAGCCCCTAATTTAAGTTTTAGAAAAAAACTAGTATTGTGTACAAAATAAATGTCTGTCACTTGGAAGTAAATTAGTGTAATTTAGTCACTTGGAAGAATGGTGGAAATGTTCTGGAGCCGTGGTTAGTGAACTGTTAAGGCTGTTACCACAAGCTGTGGGTTCAATCTGAAACTGGGATGGTTATGGAGATATACTGAAATGACAATAATTCAATTTAAAGGTGCCTTCTGGTTATTTAAACACATGGATGAATATGAATACTGCGGAAAGAAAATAAATAATTCAAAATAGTTCAGTAACTGTCTTCTGTTTGTGTGGAAGTGTGGTATTTCTATAAGTACATGTTTATTTTTGAAACCTTTGTATGTTGTAGTTTCATTTGGCCCCTTAAAACGTCCCCATAATGTGCATGTGTGTATATATAACTTGTAGTCATAAAAACATTTACACATCATGCAAACGATGTAGTTTGCACATGCTTTGTGCTGCTTGAACATGGCTTCAAATTCCTGACATCAGAAATACTCAAATAAAGGCAGAGTACAGTGGTAATGTGTTTGTACAAAAGATATTTACTTCAGTTAATACACCTATGGTGGTAATGAGGAATAATAATAATAATAATAATGAATTTTCAAACAGTGATATTGCTTTTTTCATTTTGGATTAGAACTGTAACAGCGCTGGGAACAGAATACTACATGATGATACACAAAGGAAAAACCAACCGAACTAAATACATATCAAGAGAACAAAGTGGAAGAGTCTTTATTCAGGTAAAAATGGAGGATTCAGCTCCATCTTGTGGTTCAAAACCATGACACATAGAAAAATAAACCATACAACTGTCGTTAGCAGGTGTAAGAGGGAAAGTGTCACCAACAAACTAATGGACAAAAGGACTGTGCTAAACCAAGGTTCTACCTGAGCTTTGAGAGACCTAAGGAGAATCTATAGGATACCAGCTTGTGTTGGGAGCTGCCTGTCATATTTCATTACAAGGCTTCATATTACCCATATTACAGCATACAGAGCAACAACAGAGAGAGAAATAGAGATCTGAACGTCATGATCAAGACATCCCATTTCCATAGGTTGTTGGTCGAAATGAATCGTGATAACTTGGTTAAAGTGTTGCTCTCGCTGAGCCAGATGTATAATCGTCGTGCTCGCCTCACATGTAACACAATTACACAACTTTAAAAACAAAACAAAAAGAGAGAGAAAATCTCCATCTGGGATACAATGAAACAAACTGTGGCTGTTCAGAACATACGGTCTCAGGAAGTGACGTAAGTGTGAGGGAATAAACGAGGTAACAATTATGACATCACTAGCAAACTAAGCTACGGACGAATATCTACAATAATGCTACTCGTGACTACCAATGTAATATCAATAATGATGATCTTTTTTTGTTGCTTTGTTTGTCTTTTTTTCTTTTTTTGTCTTTTTCTTAAGAAATCATATAAACGTGCTGTCTGTGCAGTCGTATGTTGATGTGTTATTTAGTCATCTGCAATACTTTCCATAGAAAAATATTTGCAAAAAGCAGAGAAAAAGTGCTGGACATCTGCACTGAGAATCGTCTGGAAACTCTTAAGTGTTCTTCTAAGTGTTTCATGCCATGATATCGACAGTACGGTTATGGTTTCAGTCAGTGAGAACGTGACGGACATAAAAAAGTGTCCTTAATATAGACCAGATTTGAATGTGCTCCTAAATGTGTTTACTTTGTCTGGGTTCAATTGAAATCACATGTTCATGATCAGAAAAGAGTCTTTACAAGCTGATTTGTCTGTTCTGACAATTTGGTCCACACTACAGTATAGTCTACAAATCATTTCAAGAGTTTCCACATGCCAAATCCATCTGTGAACTTCCTCCAGCATGGGGGAATCCTACAGCTCAAATACAATAACATGGTCAAAAACATCTAATGAATGCCTAGAAATGATTAAAACGACATTTGGGACAAAGAAATGTGAAGTTAACCGATCGAAATTGCCATTGTAAAAACGTTGGTTTTTTTAATAACCAAGCCTGAATCCTGGGACAGCTGTTTTCTCTCAGATAAAACAATACAGACACCCTAAAAGTACACAACGTTATGACCTGAGACTAGATGAGACCTTATTATTAAACTTGCTGGCGAAAATGGCTAAACCGTGGTATGATCTGACACGCGATACTTCTAATCACTTATTTGGAATGAAGACGACGCGATTATAGTAGCGAACAGTTTTCAGTGAAGGCACTCCAATGTTAGACGTGGAGAGAAAGTTCAAGAAACAGTCACGGGCTTTCGACATATTATTCGAATATTCCGATAAAAACATTGGTTCATGAAGTATCTTCTGTGCTTTCGTTAGGTCATAAAGAGACAAATTTGATTTGAATCATTCATTGGCACACATAAAAAAGGCCAAAGGTAGTTTTAAGCCGATGTTGTTCTTCAAGATTCGTCGGCGTAAATTTTAACGCAACTGAACTGACATGAATTTCATTCCCACTGAAAAAAAACCAAACACCAAAGTCCAATTCCTCAAGGTGCAGCTCAAAGCGACAGCTAATTTCAGTGACGTTAACTACCAGTTGTTCACTGGCTCATTATAGCAACTAAGCTTGATTGCGATTTATAAACGTACGTAATCTCAGAACGTTCGCAGGTTAATTACCTGAAAACCCAATTCAAGAGCATCAATCGGTTTGCTTTTGTAGAGTGAATACAACCAAACGCAATTTATCTTGAATTGTCATCTTTAAAAATTGTTAAAACATCTCAAATGTGTACTAATTAAAATTAATGCAATACATAGAATTCTGCTTCCTTTGTCAATGTAGTAAATGTTCATCCAGCTCACTAACAGAGTAAAATATATGAAAAAAAATGATAATCTTCAGAATTAATCAATAGACATGTATCAAAAGTACATCATTTAAATGTAATCCAATACTGCCGGCAGTCTATTAGTCTAAAAATATGTAACCTGACCTTTTATAGTCCCTTCCATTACAAAAAAAAGAACACGTATAACAATATAAGACATCAATATGTAAAAGACAGCATCTATAAATAAGCAAACCACACCAACAAACAAAAAATATCTACCATTAGTTTATGCGTGTAAATAAAAAGAACTTAAATGTACTATGTGATATGCTGCAGGACTGCTAAATAGCTTAGGGACGTGAGGAGGTGTTTGCTTCCACTGCCTGTGGAGAGTAGTAGTAGTAATATACAAATATAAATCGCTCTTGTCAACAATCACACACACACAAACACCCTCACACTCAAGGTTCGCACGCAGACGAGCGCGTGGCACCACCGATCTGCACTTTCGTTCACAAAATCAACTGCATACAATGACGACAAGGGCCGGAGGTGAAAGGTGAGCAGGCTTCGAAAGGTGTTTCAGGAGAGAAAGAACGTTTCTACAGAGGTGCAGAGTCCTTGCTGCGTCCTCTGACGCGTGAGTGTAGAGATTCACCTCAGGTTGCGAACGGTAAAAGAGCTTTTCATTCACAATCTACATATTTTCCTCTTTTTTTTTTTTTTTAAATGTGTTAAACAAGAAATGTAGATGAAAATGTGTCCGAGTCCTCAGTCATATACAGTATGAAGAAACAACAAAACAAGTCCGTTTCGTAAGGAATTTTTCCAGTTGTCTCGGAGGACAGATGTGTTCCGTGAACATGTTGTGGACGCCACGAAAAGCTTGTATACGGGTGGGTGAACAGTGAATGGAGAAGCTGGTGAAAAACCTGAAGTTTCGAGTTTGCACGAGAGCGAGCGGTTACACTCAGCGTCCGGTACCCTGGTGCTGAGCACCAGCCCATACAGTGCAGTGGCCCATGGCCACACCATAGAATTAGAATTTATAACACCATAGATATTGGATTAGAATTGTAATTCTATGGGCCCAAACCGCCCAACTTGGTTAGAGGTCTCTGATGTATTATAAGAGGATAAAAATCAGGCTTGTTCATTCTCTTTAAAAAATATCTTGTCAGGAATATTTACTCAAAGTACTGTACAAATCCTTTTTTCTTCACTATCTGTCTTTGTTTTGGCCTAAAATGACGTTTATTATTAAACAAGACCTCCGCGGGCTTCAAAACGCAAGTCGCGGAGGCGATTAAAGCTATGGAAAAAAAATAAACGAGCGCTACCCTTACAAGAGACCTAAATAACTTTAAAAATTGACACTTAGCTATCGAGTTACGAAATTACTCCCCTCTTCCATTTGCGTCGACCTTACAACAACAGTATGAATTTTAGCGTGATCGTGGATTCTTATTTACGATGATAATTTTTCGTTCGCATGATTTTTTTTTTCTCTTTTAGGCCATTGGCGTGTAAAATCAAAAGGAGTGCTGTTTAGAGTCAACTGACTGTGCAATCTCTCGGTGGCAACTTAATTGCTATAAAAAGGATTTTCTTCTCGCATCGGAGAAGCTTCCGAACTGTGAAAATAATGCGGGTTCCATTACGCTGGAATCCATTGCGTACTAGAGTTGCATAGCCATTGGATGGCCTCCTCTGGGGTAGGGAGGGAGAGGCAGGTGTGACGGTGCACCCGTGTTCCTTCAGCCAACACTTGCTTTTAAATGCTTGACTTTTGGTTTGAAACTGGTTCGAACTAGTCTCTGCTGACAGCCAAAGCGTACGTGATACAAAAGAGGAAACTCCCAAGACTCTTGAGAACTGATAAATTATTGTAACAGTTATTCAGTTTGTTGGTGAGAACGTCTCTATTAGAAATAGAGACACTGTGATATCATAATGTGTTTTTGTTTTTTTGCGACTGTCGCCAGTCTCGAGAATATTTCGTGGGAACGCTCCTTCTCCTGTGCTTTTCAGTTTTGTGTCTTCACCATTAGCCAATGGTATCACAGCCCTGTGGCCAGCAGGGCGTTAAGTGCTTCACAAAATAAACAGACTAAAAACTTGTTTCCTTTTCTTGTTCGTCTCTGATAGCCCACTTCTAATCAGCGAATCGAAAACCCTTGGGTTAACCAGAGTTGTGTGTGCACCAGGCTTGGCCGGGTTAGCTCAGTGAGGGACAAAGTGAGAATAAAACGACAACAACATGGCGGTGCCTCAGAACTCCCATTCGTGAGGCTCGTCACGGTTCGCCGCTTTCTCCAGCCTGTGGATGATGTTGTTGAGGTTGGCTGCTTTCTTCTTGCGCAGACTGCTGTCCTTTGGGTTTCGGGAGGGGGGCGCGGCGGCGGATATGGACTCAGGGATGCCGAATAGGCTGTCTATGATACCTCCTCGTGGCCTGCTGGTGCCCGAGGCGCTGGGGAACTCGGCCTCGCCCTCTTCATCTCTGTGGCTGAGGCTGGGGCTCTCCAGGAAGCTCTTGCGGTCCTCTGAGCCACTCGGTCGGCCCTCCGCGGTGCTGTCAGACTCGGTGCCGTCGCAGCTGTTGTCTCCCTCGCCCCCAGACTTCCCGGGCCGCGCCGAGGGGGACCCACCTTCGCCGGCCGCTGCCTGGATCTCTTCGATAAAGAGTTCTCGCCGGATACGGGATCTGTGGGAACAACGAACAAGATTTGTGAGAAAATGAACATGAGAGATAGTTCACCCAAAAATGAAAATTCTGTCATTAATTACTCACCCTCATGTTGTTCCAAACCCATAAGACCTTCGTTCAGAGTGTTCTGACCCTGCATAGACAGCAATGCAACTGACACGTTCAAGGCCCAGAAAGGTAGCAAGGACATCATTAAAATAGTCCATGTGACATCAGTGTTTCAGTCACAATGTTATGAAGCTACGGGAATACTTTTTGTGCATAAAGAAAACAAAAATAACGACTTTATTCAAGACTTTCGTAACATTACGATTGAACCACTGATGATGTCACATGGACTATTTTAATAATGTCCTTACTACCTTTCTGGGCCCTGAACATGGTAGTTCCATTGCTGTCTATGCAGGGTCAGAAAGCTCTCAGATTTCTTAAAAAAATATCTTAATTTGTGTTCTGAAAATAAACAAAGGTCTTAAGGGTTTGGAACAACATGAGAGTGAGTAATTAATGACAGAACTTTCATTTTTGGTGAACTATCACTTAAGCTAAAGCCCAAAGTATACTTGGGTTTTACACGTATGTTAGGGTAGAGCCTAATTTCTTCATCAGCACGGTACGTGTGTACTGTATACAATTTTTCTAACACAGAAAGACAAAGAAGCTGAGGGCGAGTTCCTCAGCACCTTATAATGTGAATAAGTTTGTCCACAAGGTGGCAACACTGGCCCGGCTCATTGTTTCACAGTCAGAAAAGAAACGAAGGAGACAGAACAGGAATAACAAACAACTGAAGAAAGCAACAACAATAGACAATGGTTTTATTGCAACCACGTTGCCCAAACGGTTCATTTCGTATTTCGTCTCAGTATGACGTCAGAGACGACAAAACACTACCTCTGCAGATCAACACCTACTTCTACATCAAGGCCCCTTTAGCCCCGCCCACCAATTTGCACATGTAATAAACGAAGTAAACGAAGTTCCAGATTGCGTCAGTAAGACACTGTTTGTTTGTTTGCTTCATCACTGCGAAGTAGTTTTTAAACTAAACACAGTTTAAAGCAGGCTTTTCAAACGGGACTTGAAATTAAAGATGATGCAGTTCTAACTATATTGAATCCAACATTAAAGTCGCAACACACCAGTGAGTAACTTTAAGGGTTAAAGCGTCTCAGTACCTGTAGTTGTGGAACCAGTTGATGACCGTGCTGGTTTTAAGGTTGAGTTGGCTCGCTAACTCCTCTATGGTTTTAGGGGAGGGGTAAGGCTTCTGTTGGTAGGCTCTCTTCAGAGCTTCCTTCTCTTCTGGAGCCAGCACCACACGGGGTTTCTTCAGCTGGGGCTGCTGCTGCTGCTGCTGCTGCTGCTGCTGGGAGAGGTTTTGGGGGCTGGCGCCCTGAGTGAAGTCAGTTCCTGACAGACCAGTCTCCAGCGAATGACTCTCACCGATGGAGCTGTGACGCCTCTTCATGTAGGCTGGAAAACACATATGGAGAACAGCTGTAAATACAATCAGAGAATATACATACAAATAAGCAAATGTGTTCTGGGAAATATGCTTCACATGATTCACTGAACAGGAAATAAAAGTACTGGCCCGTATTGATTGGCCAATGCTTTTAATATTGGGGGCACTGTCTATGTTGGTTACCGTCCTACTGAACAGCATGTGTTAGATGCTGTAGATTAAATTACAGTTAATAAAATGCATGATTGCTGTATTTTTCTCTAGTCAGTAGGGGGCAGTCTTTGATTACAAATATTATTATTGCCTCGAGGTCTTTGTAAGTTTGACTCATACAGCAGTATTACAAAAGTAATAATTAAAAAATAATTATTAAACAAATCAACAAACAAAAGGGAGATTCACCAGGGCTAAACTATAAAATTACCTGACTATTTGAGAGCTTTCAAAGTTTTTGTATTTGTTGTACATTCGGTTTCTGTATCGAGCATTGCCGTTTAGCAAACTATGCTAATTCAAATAAAGCAATGAATCTTCATAACATGATGGGATGACATTTTTTTCTAGTGAGTGTCAGTGAAAATGGGTTGAAAATGACACACAAAGCAGTAACGTTTTGCATCATGTCATAATTTTCTTATAAATGTATTTATAATGTAAATAACTGTCAAAGTTATACTGTAGGTGTAAAAATTCCAGATAATTGTACTATTAACAATTAGAAACAATTATTTTTGTTAAGGGCACATAAATTTGATCAAAAGTGACAGTAAAGACATTTAAGACAACGTAACTAAAGACTCATTTTTCAAATAAATGCTGTTCTTTTGAACTTTACATTCATAAAAGAATCCTGAGAAAATGTATCGGTTTCCACAAAAATATTAAGCTGCATTCAGCATTGATAATAATAATAATACATGTTTCTTGAGCACCAAATCAGCATATTATAATAATTTCTGAAGGATCATGTGACACTGAAGACTGGAGTAATGGCTGCAGAAAATTCAGCTTTGCGTCACAGGATTAAATTACCTTTTAAGATACATTCATATAAGAAACAGTTATTTTAAATTGGAATTGTATTTAACAATATTACAAATAAAAGTATCAGTGCTATTAAAAAATACTGGCAGGAAAGTGCAAATCTGAATTCCTGGCCCAACTAGGCCCAAATATTCTCAAAACGCCTGGAATTCCTTCTCCTACGAACAACTTACAGTTTAATGAAAACAAATTCCAGTAACAATAACACAGTTATCAGTATAATGTCTTTCTATTTTTTCTTACATGAACACAAACAGAGAGCAAGAACATTAATATCCTTTTTCTGATTAAAAAAGCTCAGTACAGCTAACTACACAGCTGCGTGTGAAATTTGTCATTTCCGCTGCGTTTCAGTGTCTGCTGAAGAGGAGCCTTTGGCAACAGCAATGGTAAAAGATTCCGCTGGTGGCCAAAACTCTCAGAACAAGGGCCAAGCAAGGCTAATTTGCTTTGTGCCTCTAGCCAGCGTTGAGGTCAAATTCATACTCTTTTCTGAAAAGCTCGAGCAAAAGACAGCGAGGTGGAGAGAGACAAAAACAGAGAGAGAGAACACGACAGTAAAGCTGTTGCTTTCCGTCCCTGGCAAGTGCACAGTGAGCTTTAGGGGTAAATGGTGGAGCCAGTTTCACTCTAATGAGGAGGTCCCCCCGAGTTTCGCCCGCTCTGCGCGCACACGAACCGCAAAGCCTGACTCACAACAAAACCATCATCGTCATCGTCACCCAGGGAGCACCAGTAATGTCACTTTTAGCCTGAGAGGAGTGTTAAACAGGCCTAATGACTCCAGGAATGTTCACTTGGCCTGCTGCAAGCTCGCAGGCGTACGGGCCCGGCGCTGGGTGCAGTGGACTTTAAGTAAGCCAGCCCCACAGAGCCGTCAGCCTGTCACAGCCGATCACAGAAATGACATCTCCCAACCTCATCAATCCAGACAGCGGAGCGACGAGCGGCCTCACAGAGCATGTGCGGCCTATTCGGCAGCCAGAGGACACATCTGGGCTATTAAAGAGGGGGGAAAAAAAAGAGCAATCAAACAGCCCATCAGGCCTCCCTCCGCCGGACCGCCTCGTCTCCGGCATCTCGCGCATCTCTTCACATTAAAGAGAGGCAACGCTGACGAGAGGCAGCTTAAAGATTGTTTTCTGCAACTCCTGCGCCAGCTGGAATCAATACTGGATAAACACAATCGCACAGTTGGTGATAATTAGCAGGTGCTGCATGTAAATATGGACACATGACCAAGGTACTGACGATCTGTGATGGCTGTGCATGAAAATACACAATTGTTGAGCTTTTTTTTCTGTTACTGGAAAAATGAAAGACAGATTAAGCTTTCGTTTAGAAATTTTACTTGTAGCTTCGAAAATGTAACAAGTAAACTCATTCATATTTAAATTCAAATTATTACGTTGTTTATTCAGCAAGGATGCATGGATCGAAAGTGACAGTAAAGAGTTTATAATATTTATAAAGAATGTTTTATTTTTTAAGTATTTTTGTTCATTGAGATTTATATTTTAAAACTATGTACTTTTGAACTTTAATTGTCAAAAAAAATCTCCTGAATCCTGAAAAAACAAATCACAGTTTCCACAAAAATATTAAGCAGTACAACTGTTTTCAACAATGATAATAATGAAAAATGTTTCTTAAGCACAAAATCAGCATAGTGTAATGATATCTGAAGGATCATGTGACACTGAAGACTGGAGTAATGATGATGAAAACTCAGCTTTACCATCACAGGAATCAATTACATTTTAATATATTAAAAAAGAAATCTGTTATTTTAAATTACAATAATAATAATAATAATTCACAATATTACTGTACCTTACTGTATTTTTGATAAAATAAATGCAACCTTGGTGAACATTAGATTTCTTTCAAAAACCAATCCCAAACTTTTGAAGTGTAAATTAGTGTCTTTATGACACAAAATCTGATTCAACTGGCAGATGCAGAATACATCAATCACTTTACAAAAAACATTCTGACATTTTTTTTTTTACAGTGGCTGAAATAGTTTTGCAGGACAACAAAAATAGTCAAAAAAAGCACCATCTAGTTTTGTGTGAATGTGGCTGGATTGAGGTTTTGAAAACAAAATGTGGTGAGGACATTATCCTGCACCCTGGATACTGACGTTAGCAGTCCCTGGTTTGAAACTAGCAGGTTTAAAGTGGCTAAAACCAATAAATCTGTCCATGAGCCGCTTTTTCTTTACATGGAACCTCTCTAGAATCAGCACCAGCATTTTGTTAGTGAAAAAAGCGGTCAAAAGGAAACTGGAAACACAACCCAAATCAGCACTACGGTCCAGGCAAACTTCTGCAACATAGCTCCATCGTCAAGTGAAAAATAATCAACAACAAAAAAATAAAATTCCACACCAGACAGCCGTCTTTTAAACGTCCTAAAGAGACCTGCCAACTAAGCCGACACTGAACAAACTGTGAAGCATTAATAAACACTGAAATAAAAACATTCTGAAACAACACAGACAATTGCAAACAGGTGTCAGACGGATGCCTTTAAAGGAAGGAGATTACCTTTCTTTTCCATCCGCTTCATGTCCATGAGCTTCTCCACATTCTGCGGGTCGCTCAGCCACAGCTGCATGCGTACGAACGGCTCTCGACCCTTCAGACTGAGCTTGTGCCAGGGCTTGGGCCGGGCCAGCAGATCAGACACGGAGCCCTGCGTCAAACCCAGGATGCTCTCGCCAAACAGACGCTGACCTGTAGAGCGGACAAAACAATCGCATTTGTCAAGCAAACTTCATATGAATCAACGTTGGACAACCAGAAATGGTCCAAATACTTGTTAACAATATATCGTTTTATTACTAACAAAAGTATTTTTGTGAAATGTTTTACTTGAAGTACTTCTTTTGTTATACAATGCCGGACATTTATACATTTTAACTGTGTCGTAAGTCTCCAAAGACATTTTAAGGCCACTGTGAATAGATTTTATTTATTTTGTAAATTTCGGAAAATGCTTTTATTGTATTGTGGCATCAAGTTTGATCAAACAAACTCTGATGATTTTGCTTTTAACCTCCACCTTTAAGAAAAGGTGCTTTCAAACTGCTTTCATGGTTTGAAAAGCAAACACAAACAATCATATCCCTTAAGAAACCTTCACATGAGAATGCTGCCATGCCGATAAGCCATTTGGTTTTGTTATACAATACAAAACATTAATTCATGTGTCTGAAGTGTCCAAATATGTTTTGAGGCCAGATACATTTAATTTATTTTGGGCCAATATTATTATTAAAAAAAACAAAGAGTTCCTAAGATTATGTTTTTATTGTGTTGTGGCATCAAAGCTTGATCAAACAAGCTCTGCTGATTTTGCTTTTAACCTCCACCTTTAAGACAAGGTGCTTTCAAACAGTTTTCATCGGCCGCTTAAGCTTTCAACGATTTTTTTTTCACTCCAAACAAAAGGCACCTGAATCCTCTTGACAATAACTGCGATCTGTCTATGTTCAAAAAGGAAATGCTCCCCAGAGTAAAACAAAAGCCTGCGATCCCAGAAGATTCCTTCTCTCTCTCCCCACAGACTCGTATCAACACAGCTGTCTTTACATTCTGCACTTTATACAGGTCAATACCACTACAGAGCACAACAAATCTTTGTTGCTCCCGAGACAAAAATCGCGTCGGGAAATGAGAATCTGCGAGATGAAAGAGACTGTCACAGTATCATGCTGAGGTCTATCGTCTGCGCGATATATCCGTATTCTCCTTTGTTTTATTGTGTGTGATCACATGAGTTTAAAAGAAGAAAGTGTGAACACAAAGTTCACAAAGACAAAGTGTTTTTGGCCAATTCTCTTTTGAACATGAGGACAATGGATGGTGCGAGTTAAAACAAACGGTGAAGGAGAAAGTAGCTGTGTCCAGTGTGACATTCTCGTTCGACCTCTCATTAATTATGGTAGGGACATTGAGACAGTCGTAGTGGACGGCCATTAAGTGCTAAAGCAGGGCCAACCTGTCCTCCACCTGTCCTCTCATGTGGAGAGACATTATTATATGTATTGTCTCTCTTGGACAAAATACACCATGTACTGTATCTAATAATGAGTCAAATTTATGGAATAGAAGAAGTCTAATTCATTTAGCAAATCAGTCCATTTAGACTCAGAGTTTCCACTTTTTCTTTTTTTGAGCGATGAATTTCCATGATATTTCCAGTAGACTGTGGTTTACTAGATAAGGATTTTAATAAATCACTTTCACCAAATCGCTAATGAATTATTCAGATCATTTGGGAACTCGTTTGACTGATTTAAATGAACTGACTCAAAAAAATAAAAATAAAAATCACTAGGAAATCAAGCATTACAATGGTTTGTAAGCAAGTGAAGCAAGTGTTAGCAAATATATATTTGTGCCGAAATAAGTTAATTTTTTATGCCTGACCACAAATACCACTCAAATTTATATTAACATTTTTAAATATATAAATCTTAAGTTATTAAAAATTCTTAAAAATGTTTTTTAAAAATATATTTAAATAATTTTATAATATTATTTATAATAGTATTTTATAATTTATATATAAAAATGATCAATCAAATTAACAAAACAGGGCATCAAAAACATAACAGAAATAGTAAAAACTGTAGGATGCTCCATCAGTCAACCATGACCATTTCTATAGTGTTCAAAAGTTTAAGATAAACAAGATTTTTTATGTTTTTAAAGAAGAATCTTTTGCTCATCAAGGCTGCATTTATTTGGACAAAAATAGAGATAAAAACAGTAATATTTTGAAATATTATTACAATTTAAATCAACAGTTTTCTATTTTATTATGCTTAGAAATATAATTTATTCTTGTGATGCAAAGATGAATTTTCATCAGCTATTGCTCCAGTCGTCAGTGTCACATGATCCTTGAGAAATCATTCTGATTTTTCAATATGCTAATTTATTATCAATGTTGGAAACAGTTGTGCTGCTTAATATTATATATATATATATATATATATATATATATATATATATATTGGAACCTGTGATTCTTTTTTCAGGATTCTTTAATGAATAAAAAGAACAGCAAAATAAAGATATTTTCTAACAATATGTCTTGTATTTACTATCACTTTTTATCAGTTTAACACATCCTGAATAAAAGTCTTAATTTCTTTAAATTCTTAAAAAAAAAAATTACCGATCCCAAACTTTTGAACGGCAGTGTAGGTAACAAATTTTTCAGAACGGTAGCTTCATTTTAGCTAAACTACTTGAAATTATTGAGTCGACTGCAGCTACTCCATATTTCGTTCACACTGAGGTACATATGCCACCACTGTTTTTTAACTCACTCACCGAGGTTGTTATCTGTTAGAACTTCTTTCACTTTCTTAGTGATGGCGTAGGTGTCCAGCTCAGGCGACATTGCTACCATCTCTTGTATGCTTAGCCCTGAGTGTCCCGGCAGAGGTAACGGTAGAGGCGTGCCGGGCTGGGACTCGGAAGTTTCGCTGGGCTCCTGGATGGACGCTCGGCACATCTGCTCCTCCTGCTGGCTTTTAACAGACTCCTCAGCCGAACTCAGAGGGGATTCTGGGGCAGGACTGCAGCTGGCTGAGGTCTTCGGCGTAATCTCTATGGAAACGAGAGGAACAGAATTAAGATGTTGCGCCAATGCCGCACGTGAGCTCGTCCGTTGACTGGGCATTACTAATCAACAGAAGGCCCGAACGAAGATCTGTCTAAATATGGAGCGAGTAGCCAATGAAACCGTAACCCTAACCAAGGTCTTCCTGCTCAGCAACAGGAAGTGATGGACAGTGACAGATGCATCATGTCATGCCAAGTCACAGCTTCTCTTGAAGCATAATGAGACAACTAAATTAACGAGGAAGAGAGACAAACGCATTTGGTGTTCTGAGAATTAATATGGTATGTACCAAGATAGCTCCTCCAATAACGCGCATTTCTGTGTTTAAAGGGACTGTTCACCCAAACATTTAAATTGTCAATTTATTCACTCTCATGTTGTTCCAAACCTGTATTCATAGACTTTCTTCTATGAAACAGATTTTTTTTTTTTTTTTTTTGGAAGAATCTCCAAGCTGCAAGACCAAATTTACACTATCGTTCAAAGCTGGGATCAGTTCAGTTTTAAATTTTTTAATGAATACTTTTATTCAGCAACGATGCACTAAATTGATCAAAAGTGACAGTAAAGACATTAATAATATTACTAAATTTCTATTTGAAATAAATGCTGAACTTTCTATCCTTCAAAGAACACAGAAAAAAAGTTTCCACAAAAATATTGAGCAGCACAACTGTTTTGATAATAATTGATAATGCGAAATGTTTCTTGACCACAGAATCAGCATATTAGAATGGTTTCAGAAAGAAAAGGAATAAATCACAGAAATAAATTACATTTTAAAATACATTAAAATTGAAAGCTGTTCTTTATAATATTTAACATTTTTATGTTAGCTTTATACTGTATTTTTACTGTATAAATGCAACCTTAGAGAGCATAAGAGCGCATGGTTTTAAAATCTTTCCCTCTGTCATAGTTTCATTTGCTCATGCCACACCTGTGAGGTGGATGGATTATCTTGGCAAAGGAGAAGTGCTCACTAACACAGATTTAGACAGATTTGTGAACAATATTTGAGAGAAATAGGCCTTTTGTGTACATAGAAAAAGTCTTAGATCTTTGAGATCAGCTCATGAAAAATGGGGGCAAAAACAAAAGTGTCGCATTAATAATTTTGTTCAGTGTATATTGTGTACATGTACAATCACGTATTTTGATGCGGTCACCTTAAATGAGTTTCTCACTTTTTTATTTTTATATTAAAATTCTTAAAGGCAAATTTTTTAAATTAAAGTTTTTATATTTTATACATAATTGTATAATCTTATAATAAGTACAACCCTGAGAAATATTTTAAAAAGACGACAAAAAAAAATCTAGAAATGTGAGAGCTTAAATTGTAATCTCATCCACAAACTAACAAAAAAAAGAAACAAACAAACTATACAATTTGTGTTTAAAGGAAAATAGAAAGCCATACATGCTTGCAGTGACATAAGGGCAACTAAATAATGACCGAATTTTCATTTTAAGTAACATCAAGCACCCAACACTCTCTCTAATACTCTTCCCTTTCATTTCCCATCTTCCTCTACCCCTCTATTTCAGCTCGACTCTCTGATTCGTTGGCTGTGGCAGTGCAGTGCTGGTGGTGAAGAGAGCATCGGGAGGGAGCGTCAGTTTGGATTAGCTGCCTGCCGAGCTGGGGGACACGGCAAACAGAGAGCAGGGCGCTCAAGGCGGGGAGCAGGCAGTCATATCAGATCTGCAGCAAGACCACGCACAGCCTGGTGACAGTTTGACTGGCGGCATGGTCTGTGTGTGTGTGTGTGTGTGTGTGTGTGTGTGTGGGAGGGGAGCGAGGGAGGTAGGAGGTGTTTTGGGGACACGAGCGGGAATGACAGGATGTTCCTGCGTGACATGCTGCAAGTAACCAGTGTGTATGCATGTGATAAGAGGACAGGAGGGGCGGCCACATCTGGACACACAGCTGGTTAACGCAGCTACGCGTGTGGCCGAGTACACACACACAGAGCCGGAATAAGCGGCACAAACGTGAAAGCCTACATCTGTCCAGCCCTAATTTTGATGCATGATGGGATTGAGTCTCATACGCAAATAACAGGTTTAAATCGAACGGGTTCGAAAATATCCGATTGGAACATACTCAAATCTCAAACTACAAGCATGGATTTGAAAGAAATCAATACTTTTATTCAGAAAGGATGCATTCAAATTGATCAAAAGTGACCGTAAAGTTATTTTAAATAGTAATAATATTTTACAATATTACTGTTTTTACTGTATTTTTGATCAAATAAATGCAGGTCAGATTTCTTTGAAAAACATTAAAAAAGTCAGAATAAACATCTTTTCGGCCCTAATTTTGAAGCAAATTGGGATCGCGCCACATACATGCACAACAGGTTTAAACTGAACGGGTCCTAAAACATCTGATCGAGGCATTCCCAAACTATAGCACAGTCTAATCTTAACTGGGTTCTGATTGGACGATCGCAAGGACGGACTGACATTCAGAGGAGAGGATCTGCAGAGACTGATGAGGGGTCACGGAGTGCTCTTCAACTCACACACACACATACACACCTATGCATACACATACACATACACATACACACACACCCTGGAGGAGAGCTTGTTTTAGCCTGGTTGAGTGTGTCGTCCTAATGAGGGTCAGTAAGGACAGGCAATATACAGGACACTTGCTAGAGGACAACAGACAGCGAACAGGAAGAACCTTGTGTGGTGTTGTAACATCTATCTATTTAGGCTTTTAGCCTTTTTTTTAACCTTTAGAGTTGCTTTTTTCCTTTAATTTTCTCACATGGTTTTTCGGAAAGAGTCTGTTCACTCAAAACTGAAAAAAGACCATTTCCTAAGCCTAGTGTCATTTCAAACCTGTATGGACCTTTCTTTCTTCAGTGACTTCACAGTAATATTTTGAAGAACGTAATGATTTTCTGTGCACTTACAGTGAATGTGGAGTGGAGACAAAAGAAAGTCAGTCATACTGGTTTGGATCAACATGAGGGTGAGTAAATGACAAGTTTCAAATATTCGTTTTGTTTTTTAAACAATAACTGGCTCCCTTCTTTCTATAAATCAGCATATATCAATTGGTTGACCTAAATCAATCTGAGTTATCAAAAACGTCCTGTTTTAAATCCAGATCGGGCTCTTTCCTGTGCCCTGCCACCATTTGCAGTTTTTTTTCACTGAGGTGCATTAGCTCAGTGCTAAGTGCTCCGTGCTGAAAGCTGTGAGGCACAGAACAGGGCAGCTGGAAGAAAGAAACCCATTACAGACTTCTAAACTCGGGCCATTATGGTGCCTGCTGTTCAGATTATCTACCAAATCGGTCAAGCCTGGCCAGTTCTTTTAAACACACTTTCGTCCCAACTATCCACACTGGCACGTCACCGCATGAATGTGTGTGCAAACATGTATCCTCATGCCAAGTTTAATACGGTTAATAAAAAATACAAAATATGCAGTTTAAAAAAAATTATATATATATATATATATATACATAATTAAAAGAAAAAAAACAGTTATAATATAATTTAATATAAAACATACACTACGGTTCAAAGTAAATATTTTAGGAAATAATACTTTTATTCAACAAGGATACATTAAAATGATCAAAATGTTATAATTATAATGTTACAATATATAATTAAATATAAAAAACTAAAAAAATTTTTTTTTAAATTACAATAATCTTGCGTTTTTGTCTCTGTGTGCGTTTAAAAACCATCGTAATATCACAAAGTCCATTTAAATTCTTCACGGTTTGGATTAAACAAGAAAATGGTGTGACACTTACATTTCTGTTTAAGCTAACAGCCTTGTTTCCAAATTTGACCATTTCCTATTCCTTTTTATTACCCCCCTATTGCTTTTCCAGTTGAACTCATTGCTATAATGTATATATTACTCGGCTTAATTTGTGGTAAAAATGACAGAGAAAGGCTTCTTTAAGTAGGACAGCGAGCAAGTGCTATTCATCATAATCGGCCTCGCACTCACACGCACAGCTTGACTCCCATTTATCATTCCATCGGCTGATTATTTGCATATTAATCAGCCACTGGAGCATGATGGTGCGCTCGGCAGCCAGTCACAGAGGAAGAGAGGCGGGTAATTATCATATATCCCAGCGCTGATGGGCTAATTGATTACAACAGCTCAAGGAGGCCCTTGAAAGAGCCCAGGGGGGCTTTTCTGGATGGCCCCTGTGAGACAAACCCCCCTCCCCATCCACGCTGCACCGATTTAACCCAACCCCCCGATGCGTTTCCTTGAAATCCAGGTCAATGGAAATATAAAATAAATTGATGACTGCTAATAAACGGCATAATAGGGTTTAAAAAGGCCTTGAACTGCAAAATAATAATTAGATTTATACATCCGTAACTCACAGTTTAAGATATTCACATTTCATAGTACAAACAACGTGGGAAAAATAACACACTGAAGTGTGATACTTCGGTTTAGGGGCTTGTTCAAATTCTTAACCCTAAGTATGACCGCTAATAATTACATAGCGCTTTAATAAACATCTGAGATCGATCACCAGAATGCTGTTGTCCTAGGATAATGATTGCACATTAAAAGTGGGTCAATAGTATGATCCTGTATCCATTTAGTCATGAGTAATTTAAATTCTCCCACCGCAAGGCCGAGCGAGGTACAGCTGGCTGAACTACTGAAGAATTACACTGAGATTTGGTTAGCCCTCGGTTATTTATTCAAGCCAGGCTAAAACCAGTATCAGTCAGACCATTAAAGGAATGCAGCCGTTAGCATTTTCAGGAAATGCTGGTTTTCGTCACTTTTTTTAAACGCCATCTCAGAGCGCACTATATTAATCAGACAGATATTATAAGCCATCCATTCAAGTCAGAATTCTTTGAACTATCTGAAAGTCAGATAGTTTCTCTATCCAGAATTGACTGGCGTGTCAAAAATGGGTGATCTTAACATTAGAGACCAGGCAGCTTGCTTCTTTCCTGTGATATTTCAGTGTTAGATATTCAAGAGAAATCAAATTTTGGCGAGGAGAAGCGGATGTGATTGGAGAGTTCTGCATTCGCCCATGCCAAATTAAATAAATTTTCAAAATTACAATAATCGTAGATTTTTGTCTCGGTGTGTTTTAAATCCATAGTAATATCAAAGTTCATTTAAATTCTTCATAGTTTGCATTAAACAAGAAAATGGTGTGGCATTTACATTTCGGTTTATGCTAACAACCTTGATTCCAAAGTTGACCATTTTCTATTCCTTTTTATCCCCACCTATTGTATCTCTAGCTGAACTTACAGCTATAATGTATATATTACTTGGCTTAATTTGTGGTAAAAATGACAGAGAAAGGCTTCTTTAAGTAGGACAGCGAGCAAGTGCTATTCATCATAATCGGCCTCGCACTCACACGCACAGCTTGACTCCCATTTATCATTCCATCGGCTGATTATTTGCATATTAATCAGCCACTGGAGCATGATGGTGCGCTCGGCAGCCAGTCACAGAGGAAGAGAGGCGGGTAATTATCATATATCCCAGCGCTGATGGGCTAATTGATTACAACAGCTCAAGGAGGCCCTTGAAAGAGCCCAGGGGGGCTTTTCTGGATGGCCCCTGTGAGACAAACCCCCCTCCCCATCCACGCTGCACCGATTTAACCCAACCCCCCGATGCGTTTCCTTGAAATCCAGGTCAATGGAAATATAAAATAAATTGATGACTGCTAATAAACGGCATAATAGGGTTTAAAAAGGCCTTGAACTGCAAAATAATAATTAGATTTATACATCCGTAACTCACAGTTTAAGATATTCACATTTCATAGTACAAACAACGTGGGAAAAATAACACACTGAAGTGTGATACTTCGGTTTAGGGGCTTGTTCAAATTCTTAACCCTAAGTATGACCGCTAATAATTACATAGCGCTTTAATAAACATCTGAGATCGATCACCAGAATGCTGTTGTCCTAGGATAATGATTGCACATTAAAAGTGGGTCAATAGTATGATCCTGTATCCATTTAGTCATGAGTAATTTAAATTCTCCCACCGCAAGGCCGAGCGAGGTACAGCTGGCTGAACTACTGAAGAATTACACTGAGATTTGGTTAGCCCTCGGTTATTTATTCAAGCCAGGCTAAAACCAGTATCAGTCAGACCATTAAAGGAATGCAGCCGTTAGCATTTTCAGGAAATGCTGGTTTTCGTCACTTTTTTTAAACGCCATCTCAGAGCGCACTATATTAATCAGACAGATATTATAAGCCATCCATTCAAGTCAGAATTCTTTGAACTATCTGAAAGTCAGATAGTTTCTCTATCCAGAATTGACTGGCGTGTCAAAAATGGGTGATCTTAACATTAGAGACCAGGCAGCTTGCTTCTTTCCTGTGATATTTCAGTGTTAGATATTCAAGAGAAATCAAATTTTGGCGAGGAGAAGCGGATGTGATTGGAGAGTTCTGCATTCGCCCATGCCAAATGATAAGAAAGCCGAATGAATGGTGGCTTTGATGGCAGCTCAGGATGTGAGGAGTGAAACCGAGAAACCAAAGCCACATCAGAAACGAGAAGCTCTTTCACATCCGTCTTGAGCCACTGTGCACGTTTCTCTGTATAGATAAAACTACAGTGACGTCTACATAGGAGTATGTGTGATGGTAAACAGTATCGGGGTGTTACCTTGTGTCTGTCCAGGCATTGGCAGCAGTGCCTGGCCCAGCTCTCCGTTCAGCCATAACTGCATGCGTATAAACGGCTCTCTTCCTTTCTGCGTGAGCTTGCTCCAGTGCTTCGGCCGAGAGAGCATGTCGCTCACGCTCCCCTGAGAGAGGCCCAGCACCTGCAATCCACACACACAGGAGATATGGTACATTAGATTCAGAGAAAAACAGTCCTGAAACAAATATGAAGATATTTCATGATGCAATAAGAAGAAAGATGCAGCTGGTATTACAAACTCATTTGCATGGAGTATAAAAATGAAACCAACACACACTCGCTCATATCGTTTCTTAGGAGAACCACGGGTGGGTAATCGATGGAAGCGTTTCTGATGTGAAAAGCACTGACCTTCTCGCCAAAGATCCGCTGGCAGATGCCATTCTTGGCTAGTTTGTCTTTGACCTGCTGTGTGAGATCGACAGTGTCCACTTCCTGGTACATGTAGTACTCGTACTGCTCAGGTGTGAGCGGGGGCACCACAGGTTTGGCGACTTTGGGGAGGGACAGTAAAGGCGAGGAGGAAGGCAGTGGGCTGCTCTGAGGCGTCTCGCTGCCGCTGGGCATCTGCAGACTCAGCTCTGAGCTCTGGGAGTATGGGGACTCTGAGCTGGGCCAGTCTTTCCAGTAATCCAGAGAGGAAGCAGGAGCCACAGGCGCAGTGCTGCCCAGCCGAGGGAGCTTCTGGTAGAGGCAAAGAGTAATATAGTTGGGGTTAGCCATATAAGGAAACTTAAGGAGGAGGAAGTGGGCTATTCTATTTTAAAGAAAAACGCGATATGTGATACCTTGTTAAATAATGCAATAATTGATATGCAATACGATATTGCTTTAAGTGTGTGAAATCAATTTCGATTATATATATAAAAAATGAAAATATATAGCCAATATATGTTTCGCATTACTTCTTGGAAAATAAATCATCATCACTACAACTTCTGAAAGTGAACCACAGTGTTTTAGCATTACATAAAAAGTAAAGTCACAAATCTGTAAATGTAATTTTAACATCAATGTAAAAAATAAATAATAATAATAATAATGCCAATATCTAAATACCAAAAACTCTTTGCTCAGCTTGGTAATATATAGTTATATTAACCTAAATCTTAACATCAAGAACATCCAGGTAAACAAAAACACCTGAAACTAGGTGGACAATTAAGTTATTTTAAATATTTTAATTTAATAAGAACTACAAACAACTGGACAAATACAATAAAACAATGATACAAATGAAATAAACAGTGCTTTGAGTCTTTCAGGTAGGCCTACATTAGATATACAGTATTTATTCAAGTAAGAAACAATACAGAAACGGAATAATCAAATGTAAAACTAAAACACTGCATAGTCTTCACATGAATTAAATATACACTGATTCATTATAGAGCTACAAAGTTTATTCAGTCAAGTCTTTTTCTTTTATGTTTGACAGACAGTTGCAGGTTTACTATCTTAGACTGGTCTTTATAACTGAAAACTCTACAATTATATTTAGAAAGATGGTCAGTTGTTAGGGATATAGACTTGTGGAGATAATTTAATGGTTAATACTGTGGGTATATGGGGGTATGTAGCATCAAAAAGTTATTAACAATGCACTGTACCTCCTTGCTATCCTCTTGGCTGTGGGCGTCTTCGCTAACAGAGGGCTGCCCGGTTCCGCGACGCTCAGAGAGACCTGTGCTCCACCAGTGCTCCCTCCAAGAACCCCCACCTAAACCTCCTCCACTCTCAGAGAGACGCCCAAGCTTGTGCACTCCGTCCACCCCCACATCTGAGACGGCCACCTCACCCATCTCCTTCTTCACCCCACTGTGGAAGTCTAAGAGAGGAGAGGTGGAGGGCTTCTTCAGAGACTGAGCAATAGGGGTGTAGGGGAGGCTGGAGAGCGGGGAGCCCAGGAGCGATAGATCGGTCGGGGCCATAGAGCTGGCCTTTAGTACGGGCTCCAGAGCCACCTGCTGGGCCTCCATCTCCCTCCGAGCCTGCTCAAGGATGGAACGAATGTTCTCGTCGGAGTTGCTGGAGGAGGACGGAGGCTGAGAACTCTCAACTGCAGGAACAGAAGAGAACAAGTAAGCGGTCACAATCTGTTTCACCTATACACCACCACATTATTGCTCAAAAAAGAGGAACTTAAAGTAATAGCTTACACAAAAATAAAAACTCTGGCATTATTTACATAATCCTCATGTTTTCCAAACCCTTTCCAAACTTTCTTCAGTGGAACATTGAAGAATGTTGTAACAGAAGTTATGACAATAAAAAGATACAGTGACCACAAGCGGCCAAGCTTCAAAAAGGGCAAAAGAGTACAACAAATATACAAAATTTTGGTCTTTTTGCACAAATTTGTTGTAAAGCCTCCTGTTATGATACTCTTAAGGTGTTTTTCTTTATTTTTGGACCTTAAGCTTTAGCCCCTAATTAGTATGGAAAAGAGCAGCGTGAACATTCTCCAAAACATCATCTCTTGTGTTCCCAAGAAGATTGAAAGTCATACAGGTTTGGAAAAACATGAATGTGAGTAAATGATGACAGAATTTTTGTTTTGGATGAACTATTCCTTTAAAGGGTGCCAATAAGAGATTGCTGCCCTATGCTACCCAATAACATTTCAGACTAAATTTGGAGTTTAATTTGACATATATAATAAAGTTAAACAAAAATGTCTGTTTTCTGTGAGTTAGACCATAAAAGATTTCTCAACACGTGTACATAGGGTTTTTTATTGATGTATATATATATATATATATATATATAAATATAAAAAACATACATCGGTCATAAATCCCCATGACTCAGACTGATTTATGACAGTGAGAAGTTCATTGGAAGCAGTAGCGCTCTTGGCGTGGGGGGAAAATCTTGGGGGGAAAACTTTCAACAGACGGCACAAAACCTCACCAAGTCTTAGACTGTGTGCATATATTTGGAAATAGCTGCCCGACCCTCTGTGGTAACCTGATCGCCGTTGCCTCTCCCCCACACCGTCTGCAGTGGCAGGTGGGGAAGAGACAGTTAGTTTAATTCCGTTACACAAGCTTGGACAGGAAAAGGTAAAGGAGGGAATTTCAACATTTAAAAACAGAGGGGATATGACTCAGTATGTTATTGACTGATATAATCATTTTAGACAGTGCTTGTTTAAAAATCTGCATTGCAATTACAGTTTTAGCCAACATACACCATCGTTCAAAAGTTTGGGGTTACTAAGATTTTTGAATGTTTTTGAAGGAAGTCTCTTATGCTCACCAATGCTGCATTTACTTGATCAAAAATATAGTAAAAACAGTAATACTGTGAAATATTATTACAATTTAAAATAGGAGTTTTCTACTTGGATATATTTTAAAATGTAATTTATTCCTGTGAATTTTCAGCATCACTACTCCAGTGTTCAATGTTCATGATCCTTCAGAAATCACTCTATTATGCTGATTTGGTGCTCAAGAAACATTTCTTATTATTTCAATGTTGAAAGCAATGTTGTGTGGCTTAATATTTTCGTTAAAAACATGATAAATTTTTTCAAGATTCTTTGGTAAATAGAAAGTTAAAAAGAACAATTTATTTGAAATTGAAATATAAGTCTTTACTGTCACTTTTGATCAATTTAATGCATTCTTGCTGAATAAAATATTAATTTCTTTCAACAACAAAAAATAACAACAACTTTTGAACAGAATTCTACAATAGAAAACTTGACTCATTTAGAAAAAGTGAATGAAAGAATGACTGTACTGGAAGTCCAATCTAACAGGAAGTGACATAACTGATTGTGGGGAAGTGGAAAACACATGTGAATGCCTTGATCCTTCCTTGATTACCTGATGACAGAAAAAGACTCACCTGCTTTCTGCACTTGTAACTCTCTCTTGGCCTGCTCCAAGATGGACTTGATGGCTTCATCGGAGCCGGTCTCAGGTGTGCGGATCCGTGTGGTGATGTTACCTGCGAAGACACGAGAAGGACATGTAGCTGTAAGTGACACGTCATGTGTAATAATCTGTTTGTTTTGAAATGGAGCACAATATACAATCTTTTAGACTGAAAATGGCAAAAATATTGCTATTTCTGCATGACAAAGCAAGAGTTTAAATAGATGCAAACGCAAGCTTATTCTAAACAACAAACTATCCGATATGCTAAAATAAGCCTGACACTTTTTTATTTCACGGAATTGCAATCCTCCGACCAAACTCACTGGCACAAAACTAAAATACCATTAGCAATCGTTTGCTTGTCTATAATATTGTGTGTATCAGCACCTGCGCTGCCCGTGGCTACAGCTGCACTTCCTGTGCAAGGACTGAAACCTTTTCCTGTCCTCCACAACAAAGAGATGGTAAGATTTGGATAAAATCCATGAGAAACAACAGAGCTTGTGTGGAAGTATCATCAGACGGGCCGGTGCAATGATAATAAATATGGAAAGAGAGAGAGGGAAAGCGCCCAGCGAGCAGTGGGCAGCAGGGCAAGGTCAGAGTCACTGGTGTGTGAGGAGAGCAGCTGGACGTGTGTGTGAGGTGGAAGTAATGCTCTCTCGCCCTCTCTCTCTCTCTCACACACACACACACGGGGTGGGCTAGCCACCCACAGCGCCGCCCTGGGGGAGACTCAACCACCAGTTGTAATGTGGTGGCACTGTAGAGCTGCCTGAAGGATTCTGCCACACACACACACATATATACACACAAGCTGACCACAAAATAACAGGACAGACTTCTCAAGGACCTCCGTGATGGAAAGTTACATAGGTTTAGGCCTGATAACACTCACACAGCATTTTTTTCCACAGTTTGAAACTAATCTATGCAGTCAAAGGTGTAGCATTTATTGTAAACAGCTGTCTTCCGAGATCTTTTTAAATTCCAGTCACACCTCTTCCAGCCCTGTCTGTCTCACTCACTTGTTTTGCAACAGATTCCAGGCCAGAGATTGAGAAGAAACAGACCAGCACAACAAAAACATACAGACACACTGCGGATCTGACACTCCAGAAACCCGTAACACGAGAGGGAAGGCTTGAGACAGACCTGGCCGCGTGGAGCCTTCCGAGCCGGTTCTTCGCTTCGGAACATCCTGAAACACTCTGTTCAGGTTCTGGCCTGGGTTCTCTGTTGGAAAACAAGTGGCGGAAGATAGAAATAAAGTAAGACCAAGCCCTAAACTTCTGCTGTCAATTGTCCAATCATCTCCAGGGCTCAACAGTAAGAATGACCGAGTATGAGAGATTTTTGTTTTTAGGTTGGTTGACAGAAATGTCACCTGTCTTACAGTCTTAGTGCTGCGGCATCAGTGTATCTTACATTCGCTGACGAGCAAACACCTTGGAATTTGAATTCTGCTGATTTAGATGTTAATGTTATTTAGCTAATATTAGCTAGCACAGATGATGTTTTGCTGTATTTGCGAGAGAATGACTAGCCTTTATCACAAAAAATCAGTAAAGTTTTGCACCATATGCAATCGTTTTCCAATTAAAAGTACTAATAAATCCATAGCATTCAGAGTTACATTGTAGCTGTACAATTTTCAGCAATTACTGCAAATTAAAAAACTTCTGAAATCTTTACCAAAAAATATTTATTTTTTGTTTAATAATAAATAACTTGCACATTTTTCTGCTTTTCAGAAAAATTTATTTTATAGATTTTAATTTAAATGATGGTAACACTTTACTTATAGCCTTTATGTATAATGCATTATAAAGGGTTATCAATGCAATATAATTAATCATAATATGCGTTGTAATAGATTATATCTTGTCATAAAGAATTATAACTGAATTTAAAATCCTTAGTGCAACAATGAATTCATAAGTGTTATAATCTATTAACTGTGGTTACAATTATTTTTGAGATTGTACAATGCATTATAAGGTGCGTTACAAGGCATAATTAATGCATTAAAACTACTTTTATAATGCATTATACATAAAGGCTTTAAGTAAAGTTTTAACTATTTTAAAATATAAATATAGTAGTATAACATTTTATATTAGTCCCCCATTGGGGAAACTTATATGCCTCCAGTACAACTCATACATTTACAAAAACAAGAAAAATAGACATTACAGTCACAAACAATAAGAATATAATTTACAATATAATACAAATAAACATAACATTTAAAAAAAAAAAAGACTTTTTTTTTTGAAAAGCGAAAAAATAATGTATTTTTTATTTATTTTAGGGTAAATTAATTAAAAAGTTAAATTAAAAATACAAATGTATTCCTGTAAAAAGCAATATATATTCCTTTTCTGAAGCATATAATATGCGTTGCTAAGAAATCCTTATTGTTGAGCCCTGATCTTAAATGGTTGTCAATGTCTTCACAGTCAATTTTGAGAGCACTTAGTAATACTAATCCAAAGTAATTCCTTTACATGGACAGATACATGTAAATATCCTTTGAATGGTAGTTTGTTAAGCTTAAACACAAATCGACCTAGTCTGACCTCAAAGAAAGCCACCTGCACCATGCAGAACTCACTCGAGTGATTACTTCAACGTTAATGTGCTCCTTCAGCCCAGGTCTTTGATGTGAATGAATGGGTTTTTAGGTTTTTACAAAGTTCATACTCCCATGGGAGACCACAAGCCAACGCTATGGAGGCAGACAGCCAGACCAGACTCCCTTGAAGACGTTCCAAACCGGTGTGCAGACGCACGGGCAGCAGTCAGCCTTTTTCAGCTCCGGCTCTGTTTCAAAACTACTGCCTCACAGCTAGACTGAGCAAATTTAGACTCGGCTCAACACGGCTTCAAGGATTCGCAGCCAACTGCCCTCATATGCAAGTACTCTCGCTCACGCTGGGCTCGGCCTTGATTTGTTCGCTCTAGCTGTGAAGCACAGACTTGAGGCAAAACATAATGCTCGCAAACCTCTCTGAACTTCCTCTTCACCCGTAGGCTGAGACCGAAATGAAAGAAAGGGTAGACTGCTGAAGTTTAGCTCTAATCAACACGCCGCCTGCGCCAACTGAGTAGTGATAGTGTTTCATGTAGTTATCTGAAGACTCTCAATCTTAAAGGTTATGTGCGCCATTCCATAGTGGATGAAAGGGTTAGTTTAGCCTAAAGGAATCATGGAAGCCTGTTCTTGCCTACAGTAAAAAAAAAAATAAAAATAATAATAATAATAAGGTAACTGCGACTTCATACCTAACGATTGTGACTTCTTATCTCACAAATGTGACTTTTTTACCTCAGAAATGCAACTACTTTTCTCATAAATGAAACCCTATACCTCTGAAATGCTACTTTATACCTCACAAATGCAAATTTATACCACGTAAGTTAAACTTTTTTTTTACCTCACAAATGCGACTATATATCTCACAAAAATGATTTTATACTGTACCTCACATGTGAAATTATACCTCATAATTCATTTCTCATAATTAAGTCTTTTACTTGCCAGTTTTACCTCACAAACGTGACTTCCTATCTCAGTTTTAACTACCTCACAAAAATTATTTTATACCTCACTAATGTGACTTCATTTCACAATACTGCATTAAAAATTATTTCATACCTTAGAAATGCTACTTTTACCTCATAAATGTGACTTTTACCTCAGAAATGTGACTACTTTTCTCATAACTGAAACTCTATAACTCATAAATGCAACTTTATATCTCACAAATGTGAAATTATTTCTCATAATTAAGACTTCTACTTGCCAGTTTTTACCTCACAATCGTGACTTCCTATCTCATAAATGCAACTACCACACAAAAATTATTTTATACCTCACTAATTTGACTTCATTTTACATTATTGTGACTTTATACCTCACAAATAAGATTTTACACCTCACAAATGTGACTTCATAACTAACAAATGCAAGATTTTACCTGACAACTGTGACTTAATTCCTTAAAATTTGCAACTTTTTACCTTTTTACCTCACAAATACAGTACAACTTCATACCTCAGAAACGTGACTTCATATCTCACAATTGCAACTTCCTATCTCATAAACATGACTTTATACCACACAAATACAGTACAACTTCATACCTCAGAAACGTGACTTCATATCTCACAATTGCAACTTCCTATCTCATAAACATGACTTTATACCACACAAATGCAACTGTATACCTCACGATTATGACTTTATATCTCATGACTTCACAACTCACAAATGCGACTTTATACCTCAAAATTGTTCATTCATACCTCAAAATCACGACGTCATATCACACAATTGTAACTTTATATCTAAAAAATGTGACTTCATATCTCACAAATGCAACTTTAGTTCTTATTTAAAATTTTTGTTCACAATTACTAATTTGATTAAATAATTTTTTACCCTGAGGCAAAAAAACAAGCTTCCATAAGGAGTACAGCTGGATCACAGCAATCGCAAAGCACTGCCCTCACTTGTTATTGCAAATATTTGACTATTTAAAGTATCTGATTTGATTGCTCCTTAAAGAAATACGTGCTCCAAATGTGAGACTGCTTACATCAGTGTGCCCATGTTTAAGTTGCTTACATGTGAGAGGAATTACCATGCTGTTAACTGAGCACTATTTAATCCCATGCATAATGTTTGAAAATAAACGTGCGTTGGGAGATCATCTGCGATAACAAGGTTAAGTTGTTTCCTCAAGCTCTGTAACTGACCTCTCTGCCTGCCCTGGATGCTCCTCAGCGCCAGGATATTCTGCTCATCAGACAGGAAGTGCTTCATCTTGTGAAAGGGCTCTTTGCCACGGATAGTTAACTTGCTCCAGGGTTTGGGCCGGGCCAGAATCTCACTGACTGAGCCTTGGGACAGACCCAACACATAATGGCCGAACACACGCTGGCCGATGTTGTGTTTGATCAGCTGCTCCTTGACCTGTCGCGCAATCTCAGCCGTGTCCATATCCTCCCCTTCCGACGTGCTGCCTGCACCCTCAGACTGGCTGGGAGAGGGCACCAGGCCATTAACCTCTGGGCTGCCCGCTGACTGAGGGGGTAGGGGGCTGGAGAGAGAGTTGGTTGTAGCATAATGGGGCAGCCCGAAGAGCACAGAACTTGGAGAAGGGTCCTGGAGGGCTTTGGTGTAGATGGTTTGCATGAGCTGCCTCTGAAGAAGAGAGTTGAGTGCCATTTTGCCAGCCAACGGGGGGAACGTGGCGCCCACGCTGGCCATGCCGGGGGTAAAGAAGTCTGGGCCGATGCCCGTGGGGGAGAAAGGGTGTGTACCGTTGGCACTGGCAGCAGATTCGGAGGTAGCGGTGCCCGTCCTCATCAAAAGCTGAGGGGAGGGGGGAGGAGGGGACCCCTGGAGTGTGGTAGGGACTGGAGTGGCAGGAAGACGCTGAGGGTTTTCCACTGTGGTTTCTTTACTTTTCCGCCCCACTGATCCTGTAGAACAAACCGAAGGGTGATGAGAAAAATCATGGGTACTGATTTAGAATGCTGCTAAAAATATTTAAGAGATAAATGTACAGTAAAATCCTGGCAAGGTGATTTTGTATCATCCTGAAGGTGGATACTGGCCAATTTACTGTACATTATGCCATGGCTACTTAATTAATAAATTTAAAGAACACAAAGTAATACTAATGAAAAAACTAAAGGTTTAAAAATTAGTTACCTGGAACAAAAGAAAATATTTATACAAAGCAATCATTCTACAAAAATATATGACCACAGAATGTCTTTTGACCAATTACAATCAAGTATTCCATATATATACTGTATATACATATACAGATTGTATTTCTTGTCTTAGTCTAATTTTCATTTAGAGCAGAAATTGGATTTGAATGTGTAGCAGATTCAAACCACACTGTAAAAAATGTTGTTTTGAAGTTGTAAATAAAACAAAGATTAAAGTACATTTTACAATAAAATATTTTATAGTCAAAATGTCATGTTTAATTAAATGTGTTACTTGCTGTTTCACTATAATTATTTGTGAAATTTACTAGAAATTTCTGAGTGAAAACAGCTTCTACACCCATTTTTTTTTCAGTGCACAGCTATATGTTTCCCTATTTTTAAGTTTTTTCCCCCCTATAAATGAAACTATGATAAATTCAAAAATGTTATTTAAAAAAAAAAACGATCAGAAACAAAGTGCCAAAGACTTGCTTTGCACGCTTCAAGAAAATCTGTGGTGTGTATGTGTGTGTGCCACAGGCTGACGTTTAACACTGATCTCCTCTGAGGTCTGTAGACTAGCAGGCATGTCCAGAGAAATCAGGCCAGGCAACTGTGCGTGGGCTACCTGCTCATGCTGTGGGGACTGTTCACTGCAAAGGCTTGTGGGTGTCAGTACGGTTATCCTTTTTGCCATGACAAAACACCTCTGCTGTGTGCGCTTCCATAACAATACCATCACTTTATACAATGGTGGCAAAATCAATATTTAGTGCAACAGAATTCTGTTGGCTGTCAGAGACAGATACATGCTACGATCACACATGATTCCCCAACACTGCCGTCAGCAGTGAATGCCAGGTTTAAAAATGCAAAATTTGTGATAGAAAGTCACATTTAAAACGCAAATGAAATGTATGATCCCCATAGGGGTGTCCAGAGGTGTTCTGTAATGACATTTCCAACCTTACACACACAGAGCGTGGTCGAAAGAGCAGGAAAAGGGAAACAAGGCCTAATTATCACATTGGTCTCCGCTAGCCATTCAGGATTTATGCAAGCCCCAGGTGACCTGATCTCCTACAAGCCAAAACGTAATATGCTGCTGCCTCTAGAAAAGGATGAACTGACCTTAACAACACAAATGCCTCCAAACCCAACTCGTCACTCTCAGGATGATCTGTTACGATATATATTTGTTTTTGTTTTTTCTTGAGGCAAAATAAGATCATACAGCCATAAAGTTCTGAAAGTTTTATTAGGTCATGTTGCATGTCCAGCTGCATTTTAGGTGAAGTTAGGTTTGGAAAAAAGTCATCAATAAATCATGCCAGTTCCTGTGTGTAAGCTGCAGCTTCGCAATTTCCCAGTGACTGGCTGGTTAATGTTCCTCGGAAGAGGATGGATACCGTGTAAACTCACCACTGAAGTCATTGTTGGCCAGTCGTTTCAAAGCGCTCTCAGACAGCTGGCTATGGACTTTCCCCATCAGCAACATCTCCAACGGCTTGGATGAGTCCTAAAATGAAGGACGGACAAGGTTAAGAAAAAATGTACAAGAGGGTAGAAAATGATGGGAAGTAAGGGAACAGAAATGAGGGAGAAAAGGAAGTGAATAAGGAAGTAAAACAGGAAGAAGAAAAACAAAAGTAAAGTTAGAAAGAAAGAAAGGAAGAAAGAAAGAAAAGTTTAGAAAGGAAAGAATTGAGAGGGAATGTTAAGAGAAATGGAACAAAATGAAGTTAAGAAAGGGAAGAAGAGTGGGGAGAGAATTGAGAAAGGGAAAGAAAGGAAGGAATTGAGTAAGGAAGGGAATGGAAAGGGGAAAAAGGAAATGAGGAATAAAGAATAGAAGAAAGAAGGAATATAAAGGAAGAAACAAACCAAATGAAAGTTAAAGGAAGGAACAAAATACAGAAAAAATAAAACAACACTATCAGCTCTTTCACATGTATTTATTAGTACAAAATTAAAATTAATATTTCGGAAATGAACGGGACAAATTTATGACATGATATTCAGAATTTACAAAACATCAAAAGCAAGAAAACATGCTGCCTTTTACTATAACAAGAAGAAAATTCTTTCTAAACACGTGATGTCTTACCTGTACTGAAGAGTGATGATCTGATGAGTTGTGCTCCATGGATTTCAGGTTGCTGTTGAGAGTGAAAAAGTGTTTACGTATTAAATAATGGTGCTACTAAGCCAAACGTTCATCCTGAAGCCTTTGCTTTCTATTCAGGTCAAGAACTGAACGCCGCTCAGCTTAATAAGCGTTGGCTCAGCGTTCAGTATCATAATTTGAAAATTCCTGTGACACCTACAATCACGTTACCCAAATTAACCTGTGTGCCTAGCCGCGCTCCACTCAGGGCTGATCTGTTATCTATGGATTAAACGGGGCCATTTTCAAAAGCCTTTTGGGTGAAAACACTCATTATATTACGGTGGAATGTGCCTCGACTACTGTAGACACCAAGCTATCAATATACATTCAGCAAAGCGGCTTTTTAGGCCGATCATCAGACCAGCGCAGATCTTAACAACACCCTCTATTCATGGATTACTTGCTTTATAAATCCCAATTGGGAATATTACGCCTAAAATCAAGTTATGCAACGGACAGCCAGACATCTCCTGAAGCCTCCCAACACACACGCCGACAGCACAGACGAGTGGCCAAGCCAAAAACACACACATCAGTCAATTAGGTTATCGCCGATGCAAACTACGTTAGCCTCCTCATTACAGCTGTGGCCGGAGATGAAACGCAGCAATCCCTCAGTCCCACGCAGAAACCTCTCCGACAACAAAGCGTGCTTAATCCGCTTTTCTCAAAAATAAGACCCAATACTCCTTGCATACCTAAGGTTCTTTGAATTTATTAAACAGAACTGAGATTACCGCAGAGTAAAAATCCTTCTGGTAAAATATGGGAATAAAAGGTCCGTGCGCAGATGGAGTTTGGCGATCTCTGCGGTTCATATCTCAGCTGGCTGAACTACATCGGATCACATTCAGTACGTCTGACTGTAAAGTTCAAGACCACCAGGTACTGAAAACTCACAATTCGAGCCCTGGAGCGAGAGAGGACGGTACATGCATAACGGAGCGGTGGGTAAAGGTTAAGGATGGTCTGAGGGTCTTGAATTATGTATGTGGATAAACAACACCAGGTCAGGTCACTCCAAACAAAACCTTTGCTTATTTAGGTCCACCTTAAAGCCAATTTGTGGTATTACACACTTGAATGTCATGTTAAGGTTGAAGCAACGTTCCCATCAGCGTTAAAATAATGTTAATAATGCTAAAATATTCACATAATTGTGAGGGAAAAGGCTGAAGCGTCAGGATTATTTGCGCTGACAGAATTAGTGCTTCAGAACTTACCAGAGTTCTCGTTTGATCTCATCGTAGTCTGACTGCTCTTGAAGATTTTCTTCAAGTTGCTGGGGAAGGGAAAAGGCAAATATATGTATTTATAAGCAAATTTGTACTCTGAATTACTGATGAACTATATTATACTGAAATTCTCACAATTCACACAGAGGGTTCAAATATTTCCCATAGAATAAAAACAGCATACTATTTTGGAATGACATAAGAGTGAATAATGACAGATTATTATTTTTATTTTCTGGTGCCCTATACCTTTAAGGGGCTCAAAATAAATGATACAAACAGATACAAACAATGAAACATTTCTTTCATTTTGAAAAATAATTTTTTTTAGATTTTATTAAATCAAAACTATTTAAAATGACATTCAATTAAAATAATATATTTGGTAATATACACTACTGTTCAAAATTTTGGGGAAAATACTTTTTTTTTTTCAGCAAGGATACATTAAACTGATCAAAAGTGACAGTATTTATATTTACAATGTTACAAAAGATTTCTACTTCAAATACATTTTTGAATATGTTTTTATTCATCACAGGAATAAATGATTATTTTTAAAATAATTTTTTAATAATTATAAATGTTAAAATAATTATTAAAAAAAGTTTGTAAATACATATTACAAATATATTAAAATGTAAAAAAAAGTTACAGTTTGTAAATTGTAACAACATTTCATAATATACAATACTGCTGTTTTAATTGTATTTTTGATCGAATAAATTAAGCCTTGGTGAGCATAAGAAACTTCTTTCAAAAACATCTCATATACTGTATTTCAAACATTGAGTAAATATTGTGAAATTAAGCGTACAAATTAAGCCATTATGTGTACTTTTAGAGTTTATTTGCTATCATTAAATTGTTCCTAGTAAAAAAGTATAGTTCAAATTTATTAAGATATTTACTGACATATCGCTCGAGACTTACTGATATAAAAATTTTAATTAAACTATTTGGAGTACCGCTTGTGCACAAAGCAAATTTCTTAATATTAAGCCTAAAATGTGTTTTAATGTCACTATTGATGAGGACTATATGACCTTTGAATTATATCGGTCTTTAAATACAAGATATTTAAAGTGTAGCTGAAGTATAGTTCCACTTTAACACAATCACTTCAGTATATCTTTAGTTGGACTTCAGCACTACTTCCACATAATTAAAATAACAAAAATTTAAATTAGGGTGTTTTACTCACCCCCAAGGCATCCTAGGTGTATATGACTTTCTTCGTTCAGACAATTTATATAAAAAATTGTCCTGGCTATTCCAAGCTCTATCATTGCAGTCAGCGGGTGTTACAGTGCTTCAGTCCAAAAGAAGTGAAATAAAAAGTGCCCATCCATAAAAATAAAAAAAAGTGTCTCACACTTCACACTCACCCGGGGGGTGAACAAAGGCCTCCTGTAGCGAATCGATGCGTTTTTATAAGAAAAATATCCATATTCAAAACTTAATAATCACTTTAATCTAGTTTGCACTCACTGCTGTAAATGGAAGCAGTTCCGGGCGGATGACGTATGAGGTTGGATTTGCGCATGCGCCGCTCAGAAGTGACGAACGCGGAAGTGCAGCAGAGAGATCAAAACAAAACAATGGTCACTAATTAGAAGTACAAAACAAGGATTTGTAAAGAAGAATGTCAGAGGATTTCAATATAAGCCAAGAGGAGACTGGTTTTCCTTTGCTAAAGTAAGGAAACTTTGCTTCTTTTGATCCTGTAAACAAACGTTGGTTTTCACAAGACTCACCGGCGCATGCGCAAAGCTGAAATCATACGTCATCAGCCCGGAGCTGCTTCCGTGTACAACTGCTGGCACAAGCTAGATTAAAGTGATTATTACGCTTTGAATATGGATATTTGTCTTACAAAAACGCATTGATTCGCTACAGGAGGCCTTTGTTCACCCCCCGGGGCTGTGTGAGACACTTTTTTTTATGGATGGGCGCTTTTTATTGTTGTTCCAATTCATCAGACTAAGTATACCAGTTTAGTATACCAAAAGTACAATTGCAGGGTATTTTTATTAAATACATAAATATGTGAATGTATTTGTAGTATACTTAGCATTATATACTTTAGCTTTTCATCAGCCATTCTACTTTCTAGAAACAGCCATTAAAAAACCCATTTCGCTCAACCACTATTCTATATGAATCTCCCGGCACTGCTCACGCTCAGATTCTGCAGTAGAAGTTGAGTCTGCTACAGGCAGGCCAGTTCAGAGCAGTCTCTCCGCGTAAGGCTCAGCAATGGCTTCTTCTCAGCTCAGTCTCCTGCCATCCAACCAGCCGTCATTCAAACTCTAAACATTCACTACATGGGTCACATGGCTCATGTGAGTCGCTGCAACATTTACAGGCCTGTCCTGCAGCTGCAGAGCAGAGATCTGACTGCTGCCACGAGCAGGACCACTTGCTTCATCCAACATGAAATGTCGAGATGAAACCATTCGTATCTGGAGTTCAGTGCTAATGTGACTTTAGTGACCAACCAGGCTCTTTCACTTGTACTTGCTACAGCTGTTTAGCCAACAAAACAGCAGCACTTCTACATCAATGCTTATACATAAATAAAGAAGGCTGTATGGCACAGCAATTTTACCACAGTAATGGAGTACAATGCAATGCAGGACTAACTAATTGCATACTACTAACCATCTAAACACATGATCAAAGCTTAAGTTATGCTCTACTTAATATATTACCAATGTCTTTCATTAATAAGTTGGTCTGACTGACCTTTAATAGGGCCTCTTTGGAGCTCAGCTGCTGCTCGAGCTGGCTGATCTGATTGGTGGAGGTCTCGCTGAGCTGGGCCAGACTGGCTTGAAGTCTCTGAACGTCCTCAGCCAAACGCTCTACCTCCCTTTCCTTTGCACCCAACTCTGCCTCCAGTCTGCTGCAAGATAGCGCCTCCAGAGACTTGTCCTGCACACACAAATACACACATTTTACAATGCTGTACAGACAACGTAAATGGTAACACTTCCTGTTAGCCAAGGCAAATGTCTGTGTTCTTGAGCATTGTGATGCGAAGTACTATGTTGTATCAAATTTGTTTTTAAATAAACCTGCACTGTTATGACTTAAACCCAATTGAGCATCTCTGGAGAGACCTAAAAATTGCTGTTCACCAACGTTTACCATCCAACCTGACCGAACTGGAGAGGATCTGCAAGGAGGCATGGCAGAGGATCCCCAAATCCAGGTGTGAAAAACTTGTTGCATCTTTCCCAAAAAGACTCATGGCTGTATTAGATCAAAAGGGTGCTTCTACTAAATACTGAGCAAAGGGTCTGAATACTTAGGACCATGTGATATTTCAGTTTTTCTTTTTTAATAAATCTGCAAAAATGTCAACAATTCTGTGTTTTTCTGTCAATATGGGGTGCTGTGTGTACATTAATGAGGAAATAAAATTAACTTAAATGATATTAGCAAATGGCTGCAATATAACAAAGAGTGAAAAATTTAAGGGGGTCTGAATACTTTCCGTACCCACTGTATATACTGTGCAAAGTACAATAAAAATATTTTAAATGCATTATATTCATAAACCCTTATAATGAACTTCACAAATAATTATAAATATAGTTTGGTCATACTTTATTTTAGGGTCCAATTCTCGATATTACAAACAATTAACTACAAATTTTGCCTCAATAAACTCCTAATTTGCTGATGTAGAATATGGCCATGCAGAATATGTGCTTTATAAGTACTAATAAACAGCCAATATGTTAATAATAAGCATGCTAACAAACAACTAGTTAATAGTGAGAATTGGTCCCTATACTAAAGTGTTACCTATAGTTTCTATACAGTATTACATTATTTGTTTAATTGTTCATATATTTAATGCTGTTAACATTTATTAATGACAGATTTTTTTCATAATGTATTGATCCATTATTCATTACTTATTCATTATAAATAAATTAATATTAAAATGCAATTACTTATATATTTAAAAAGACAAAAAATATATAAATTAATAAATATTTCACTATAATATAATAAATTATACTGCAAATATAAACTGGCTACACTACTTGCAACGGCACTGCAAATGCATAATGCATTAAGAATATGCATTAAGCACTGTATTAAAAAAATGTGTAAAATTATCTACAAATTAGACATTCATGCTTCTAATGTATGCATTAAAAAGTTTTTTTTTAATAATTTACAAATCTGATATCAATCCTGATGAAGTATTTTTTGACAGCCCTAATTGATTAATCTCAATATTATAACAGCGTTAATATGTGAATGCATCCCTCCTATATCCTCTTTCATTACAATACAGGCATGTAGAGTTTAGTTCTTACTACTTCCGGTGCTTTCTGGATCTGATTGGATGGTTGCAGGGTTTTGCCAGCTGAAGTGAGCTGCTCCCTCAGGCTCACGGCCTCCCTCTCTGCCGCCTCGGCCCTCTGTGGGCCACAAACAGAACAAATGGGTTAAAAATTGCCTAAGTCGAAGATACATAACCTTAATATCAACCAATGCTGAGAAGACCGGGAGCTAAGAGATCACAGGCCTATTTTTTATGGCTGGGCTGAAAAATGTTAACTGAACTCACATGGGTCCTACTTGGCTGAGTGCTCTAGTATTCAAGCTAAAGTGTGTCAAGGTATGTATGGTTGGTTGATTCACAAAATATGCAAATCATGCAGAGTTCATTTTAAATAAAGATTGTGGTGTTAATTCATTTGTTGCCCTAAAATGGATGCCTGACCTAAAGACAAATGGCTAGATTCACGATGAGACTTCAAAAGTTAAATGTATTGTAAAAGCTGCTTAAAGCATTCAACCTTTAAATGCACTGAATCCAACACCACCATCTTTATGCATTTATGGTAATGACAAGCTTAATTATGCTAATTTATTCTAAGTGTCTACGTAACAAGTCTTACCAAATGTTCTTTTTTCTGTTGATTGGAATAATAATGCTAATGAAAACAATGATTATAAACTTTATACTCGAGTGTTTGTTTATTGCTTGCCCTACATTTTCAAAAACTTAGTTTATCATTTTTAGACAAGCAAATTGATTTTACAGTGTTTACAAACAGAGACATTCAGAAAAAATGGGAGTTTTGAGTAAGTTAGCAAGAAATAAGTCAGGAAGAGATCATTTAATAATAATATGATATAAAATAAAATACTCCTACAGATCAGCTATCCCAAACACATAAGGTCAGTAAATGATAGACTGCTGATAAAAAAAAAATCCCATAAATGCACAAAACCAATAAAAAGGCAAGAGATTCTTTACCAAACACATAAGGTCAGTAAATGATAGACTGCTGATAAAAAAAAAAATCCCATAAATGCACAAAACCAATAAAAAGGCAAGAGATTCTTTATATTGCATCACATAAAATATCTGATATCCATTTAGATTTAGCCGTTGGGGCTCAGAGCTCGAAAAAGTGCAAGGGAATGATGGATTTCTTCCAAAAGGAAAGCAGATGGAGGGAATTGGGATATCTGGAACTTGGATATATGTGACTCCAATAAAGTTGTGTGCTAATAAAAGAAATTTGCAATCTAGCACAGCAACTTCTGTAGAGTCCATTAGACCGGTGATATTAATAAAAGACCTAAACAAGCTGTTATTGTGTCTTAGATTTGCATACAATAGAAATACGAGTCACTTTTCCATTAGGAATATGGCCTTTACCTGATTGGCTCTTTCCAAATCTGTCATCACCACTTCAATCTCATTGGCCCTGAAAAATAAAGGCGCACATTACTTACACAGGCAGGAGGGAAACGGTAGCGCAGGTTTGTTGCAGTGAAACACAATGATGCAACATAACGCAATGCAATAAAATGGGTCACGTAAGGAACAGACCAGGTGGAACAGAAGACCTCACATCAACATAAAACGGGTAATCAGCATCTTGCCTCACTTCTGGGCCGCTTGCATGTGTGCATATGCAATTACGAGCAGCTAGATGCGTTCTGAGAGCATTCATCATGAAAGCATCTGGGTATGTGCGTGTTGTTGTGTAGAGATCAGCCGTTTCAGTTGGACTTCCATAACCCTGTCATGCATGTGAACACTTGCACACTCACCCGTATGCACACTGGCAAACACACATACATACTACCGCACGCACGCACGCAGGGCCATTAAGCCCTCTCGATTTCACAGTAATCCGATGGACTGAGAGCTGTGTAGCCCAGCAGTGGGTTCATGGCTCAGCCACATGGACAAGCCCAGGTTAAAACAGAGGGATTACACTAATATAGGCCTCAGACTCCTTTTAATGCACACTAATCTGATATAATATTCTCAATTCTGCTAGCGCGCAGCTCAGCTCAGCAAATGGCATGGCTTAGGTGTGTAAACACAACTGCTTTCAATAAAGGTTAACAGTACTGTATGTCCCCATTAAACATTCAACTCAAATGAGTGGAGTTTGGTCACTCAAATACAGCTTTCAAACAAAAGACAAAAAGTCATGCTAACTATTTGGGTTAAATGAACTTTTATTATTAAAATTAGGGAACAAGTTTATGAAAACATCATGATCCAAATCCAATTTCAAGGCTGAGGAATTAAAGGGACAGTTTACTCAAAAATTACAATTTGATCATCATTTACTCACCCTCAAGCTGTTCCAAGCATGCATGAACTTCTTTCTTCTGTGAAACATAAAAGAAGGTATTTTGAAGAATGTGAGTAACCAAACAGATTATGATCCCTACAGACTTCCATAACATTTTTATCCATTCTATAGAAGTCATAAATTGTTTGGTTACCAACATTCTTCAAAATACCTTTTATGTTTCACAAAAGAAAGAAACTCATCCATTTTTAGAACAGCTTGAGGGTGAGTAAATGGCAACAGGATTTTCATTTCTGGGTGGACTATCCCTTTAAGGTTTAGCTGGTTAGCATGGTCCAGCTAGCTGCAAGCCATAATGGTCACACTTTATTTTAAGGTCCAATTCCCTGCGACATTTGCCTCAATAAACACCTAATTTGCTGTTTATTAATAGTTAGTAAGGTAGTTGTTAAGTTTAGGTATTGGGTAGGATTAGGGATGTAGAATATGGTCATGCAAAATATGTGCTTTATAAGTACTAATAAACAGCCAATATGTTAATAATAGGCATGCTAATAAGCAGCTAGTTAATAATGAGAATTGGCCCTTATTACTTAAGTGTTACCGCCATCACCATATCAAAAAGAATCTTTTTCAGTTGACAACCATTTGCTACTATTCTGACTAATAACCTTTTGCATATGACATAGTTTAAAGTGTTTAATTTTCTTTTATTAGATGTTTTGCCTCAACATACTTAGCATGTGGTTAAGTATACTAACGGCCAGGCTACACCACTGTTTTTGTTTTGATTTTGGCATATCTTAACCAAACTCAATGTGTTCTCATATGACAATGTGTTGTTTCTGGTGTGCTAACAACAAATGTTTCTGTACTACTCAGAGCATTTTTTAAAACCATAATCTAAACCAAATTCAAAGCATTCCCACAATAATGTGTAGCATGTGTGCTAACTGCTAGACTAGTACTTTGTACTGTAGCCATTTTTGTTTGATTCTGAACCACAATCTCCACAAACTCAAATAGCTCACACACGATAGTGTGTTGTAGCCTGTATTCTAAACGCTAGGCTACAAATTTAACTAATCTTTTTTTTGCTTGATTTTGTAACAGTATTTACCAAACTCAGAACATTCACACATAATGTGTTACAGCATGTGTACTGCTAGGTTACTACTCACTACAGTAGATGTTTCTGTACCACTGCCTTTAACAAACTCATGTGTGCTCACACTTGAAGCAGCAAAGCTAATGCTTGTAGCCGGATCTGACACGACAAAAATTGAACCAACACATAATCTTTAAGCGAGTGAAATTTGTTAGCCCACATACTGAGCCCTTAATCTGATAAAAGCACTTGCATTATTTCTGTCACCCACTGTATTCTCCTCTCGAACGGTTCTCCCATTGACATTTCTGACCATGTGACTGCAAACTGAGAGGAGTCAAGCACAGCTGAAATTAATTCAACAGCCAAGCTTAATTAGAGGCGATTTGGTTTAATGATTCAGATGAGCTTAACTCATCTTTGTGCGCACTTTTAAGCACATGACTGTGTCATCTCATGGATGATGCAGCGTTGGAGTTTCATTGTGGCTAAAAAAAAAAAAAAAAAAAAAGTGAAGAGCGCTGTGAAAATACTGTTTCAAATTATTATTGAAACCCAATTATTCACTCCAATTACATGATGGCTCTCTAACATCAAAGTGAAAACCCATTTGCAACCCATTTTACTTTTTTAATGTGACATTTCAAAGTGAAACAGGATTTTCAACAAGAAAAAAGTAGAACAGGACTTTTTTTACCCACTGGGAATTAATAGAATTGTGAAAAATGGACATTACACACCAGAACGGCACTAAAAACCATGTCTAAACAGCTATTAAAATAGCCCGCAATTTTTAAAATTTGATATTATGTGCACCAGATTAATTGCTCATAATAAGAACCAGCACATTTAAGGAAACTAAACATAGCCAATTGCAATTTCACTTCAACTTTAAAAACGAAAATGCTCAATAATGTAGATATTTATTATTTAACATATATTTAGCTAGCTTCTTTCCCACTGAGCTTTACCAAACCCAAAGAGTTAAATATAAATCATTAAATAACGTAAGATCATCACAGATTTGGGAATTATGGGATATAATACTCCTTTAAACCTAAAGACTGCAGATCAGAGGTTTATTTTATGCATTAACAGTGTCATGATCTCGTCATGGCACAGAATATAAAAATACAATCCCTCTTAAATACAGTGTAAAGAGGCACTCTCTCGCAAACACACACACAATTGTGAACCTGCATAACCTAATCTCCTCTCGTCAGCTCATGTTCACTCCCTCCTTTATGGGCCCCACTGTAAAAACACATTAAATGACGACCTTAAAGGGGCCATATTCGACACTTTCATAGTATTTTATTTCTTTCCTTGAATTCACTTACGTAAGGTTTCTTGCACGGAAAACAATCATAATTTAGTGTTACGCCCTCTCTTTGACCCTTACATATAAACAGCCTGTTTTTGCTACTGTATCTTCAAGAATTATATATGCAAATGAGCTCTGCTGTGATTGGCTGACCTCTCGTGAACTGTTGGTAGCAATTTTTGTAACATTTTTACAGATGTTTCAAGTGGGAGGTTTGCGTGTTAGAGTGCATCAACGTTCTACAGTGACATTTAATTTCAAAAGACCAAAAAATAAAACCCGTTTTCCATGATATGTCCCCTTTAAAGATGAAAAAATAAGGACGAGAACTGAGTGAGACATGCATAACTCCCATTGGAGCTCAGCCTTCAAATCCAGCATGTTCTTCATCACCTCGAACCGGGAGGCCAGAGGTTATCTGCGAGATCATTTATTCGGATTATTTCATCATCTACATATGAACACGCTACAATGTGGGAAAGTCCAAAGAAATAACAGTGTGGAACACATAAACACAACTTATTTTGTTATTCTATGAGCTACCGTTGATGAATAGAGCGTATTAAACACTTACTGCACTTGATTATTGTATTTGGTCGTCTCTGGCCTAATAAATTATGAGAACCAGCTGCTTTGATTTTGACCTTTTCCATCCAGCACTGCTGTCAGAAAGAGGGGAGGTTAACTCGGCGCTCGGGCAAAGCTAGCGAGAGAGAGGTCCAGGTTACATGCATCCTCTGGCTGTAATTCAACTCTTTCAGGCGATTCTCTCTCTCCCGTCTTGCTCAAACTCACTCACGCTCGCTCTCTCTCCAGTGTCTTTGTTTCTGCTGCGGCTCAAATCCCCCTGGGCTGGTACGACATTTCACAGATTTAGCCCATTAGATTTCCATTTTGCTCTCTTTCTCCATTTGGCCCCTATCTTATGGAGCCAGTGTAGGCTTTATCCTGGTGGGTTTTTTTGTCCTCCCATCCTCTCTTAACCTTTTGAAGGCTGGGGTGGTAAGAAAACCCTTGGGGTTAGATTTTTCTCTCCTCTTGTTGAGTGTCCTGACCTCCAAAAGATAAAAAAAAATCTCACTCTTAAGTGTCATTCCTGACTAACTCTCAAAACAACAAACATCATCGACTCAAATTTTTCTCGACAGCAATCACACAGGTGTATAATCATCTCCTAAGGAGTTTTCAAGAGTTTTGTTCAGGAGTAAATTAAATACTAAATACTGTTGATTTACCTGTTATTTCATATAATGAGATACTCAACCTAACCAATAATAGTTTTTCCTTCAATTTCTGAAGGAAATAATAAGCCTAAGTGGTAGCTAGGGTGTTGCTAGGGATTTCCAAATGGTTTCTTACAAGCCCAGAGTCAAAATATCCCAAATCTCTATAATATCCAGATTCATAGATATTGGGGGATATTTCCCCCGCCCATTTAATTGCCAAAAGGATCGCACAAGTTGCATGATTAGAGGTATCACAGCACCAATATTACAGGTCAAAATACATATCGATGTTTAATACTTAAGGTTTGTGGTTTAGGAAAAAAATGCTTAACCATAAGTTAAGAGTAAAAATGTTAACTATGCATATAATACACTGATAAATATGAAAAGTAAAAAAAAAGCCGAGTTAAATCCAAACATCAAATAGTCTAAATATAAAGTCAAACACAAAAAAATTAAGCAAAAATAAAATGATAAATATGAAAACACTGAACCGTTATATTAAATAAGAAAATGTGTTTTACAGTTTTCCAAAACTTGCAAAGTGTCACTATGTGGTTGTTAAAGGTGGTTCTTACTGGCCCCTGAAAAAACAAAAAAAACAACCACCAAATCTCTAATATTTTGATCCACAAATATTGGTTGGCGACTTCTGGTTATGGGATTTTTTGCACCGGTTTTATTGACAGCCAGATGAAAACTGCAAGGTTTATTGGTTTATTGGAAAAGTATCAGTATATCGTTCCTCTACAAACCACACAATGTGAGGTATCATTTTTGTTTATATCACAAATAATACAGTGCAGGTCAAATTTCACAACGAAGTTAAATGCTCAAGGTTTATGGTTTAGAATCCCATAACCATTGGTATAAGCAAAAGAGATGTTAGTTTAGCTATTCACTTTAGTTTAGTGTACTATAGTGTATCGAGTTCTATTTGGAAAAAGCTATATACCTGCATAATACATCTGCACAATACTGTGGAAATATCAGCGAACAATGTAAGAGCTTCTGGGACGGTGAAATGTCTTGCTTGACACAGATGAAATGTTTTCTTTGCACTCAGCCGGTGAGTGTAGATCTGTGCAGATAAATCAGGTGGGTAGGATGAGGTCCTTTGTGTTCCCCGCAGTAATTCAAAACCTGCCAGACTGATGGGAGTACAGACAAATGGATCAGACAGAGCAAAAATCCACCCTCCGAAATGTCACACAACCAACAACGCAGCAGAGACCCTGTCAAGCAAAACACGCTGGATGCGGAGACGAAAAAAGGCTGAGAGGTGCCTGACGTTGCTCTTCTGCCTGGATTTGAGGGGAATCAAACTGTGCTGTTTATCCGAGTCAGTGCATGTAACATCACAGGACGCACAGACAAAAGGATCTGAAGGTATGTTCACAGCGAACACGCAGTCGCCGCGAGCCCATGGGGACGGTCATGTCACAGAGAGCCGATGAAATTCGTGTGCACAGCTCTCGCATGCCAGAACCAGCTCACTGGCCCAGTGCACTCCTCCACGGTTTACATCTCACACACACACGCCAAGCCCACATAAACCACAAACAGAAATTCACTCTGTCTCTCTCCATTTCTCGCTCTTTATAACACATGCACACATACCCACCTAGACGCACGCTCGTGATCTAACATCCGCACACAGTTCCACAGGCCTCACACACGTAATTATATTAAGTGATTCTCTATAGAACAGTGCATAATCATGAAAATATTACATACACACACACATTAAATTACATATAAATTTGTTCTGAAATGACTTAAAAGATTTTTTTTAAGTTATATAGATACACAAACTAACACAATATGCAAAAAATTTCACTTTTTGGATCGGGCACTTAAATATAGGATTTTATTATAATTTTATTATATGATATTTAATATGCATGGAAATTAAAGTTTTTTATGGATTTTTATGCATTGTTATATAGAAAACTAGTGATGCACGATCATGATTTTTCATAGCTGATTCCGATACCGATTTTTTACAAGCAAACTGGCCGATACCGATTTCCGATTTTTAAAAAAATTTTTATCAAGCAACAAACAAGAAAGAATAAAAGTACACATAAACAAGATGTTTATTTGGTATTTAACAGGCTAAACTGGGTTTTGGCTATTGAAAACAACAACTGTAACCATCTGAAATTAACAGCAGTAACTGCGCAGTAAGTAGGCTACATTCAATACAAACATAGGTAGGCCTACTGACAAAAGCATTTAGCTTTTGTTTTTAAATTGGGTTGAAACTATAAACTGGCCTTAAATGAAAACATTAACTGTAACCATGTAATTTTAAAGGCAACAACTGCATAGTTCCACAATCCAAACAACACAATCAAAACACATTCAAAACGCCAAACAAAGATCTTACGTAATCAGCATTCAGCATTTGTTTTAGTTTTTAAATTTGGTGTAAAGAAAAAAAGATCTTTACCAGTGAAACTAATTAAAACCAAAGTAGGCTATATAAATAAATTATTCCAAAATGTTAACTACGGCAGGTGCTTTTTAAATCACATTAAGTCAATGTAATTTTAAGGTAAAATAAAAAATATTAATCCCATAGCCTACAGAACTGACGTTTACTTCTGGCTTTTCAAAAGTGCATGTGAGTTATTCTTTACAAAAAGAAGGATTTCAGCTTTGTCACAAGTTTGTCTGTTTCATTTCGAGAAGCTGAGCTGAACAAACGTTCACTGTCTACGCTTGTGCAGGGCGCGGACAGGTACACTCGCGCAACTTCAGCGAGTGCAGGAAAGCGGCTCTTATTTGTGCGCCAGTACACCAACGGCTGTTCGCTTCTTGGTATCTGACTGTGCCTCAGACAGGCAGCTCTGCATTTCCAGTGCTGTACGGCTGCCCGTATTCTTAATCACTTCAGATTTTTCTTCCAATATCTCATCGTGCATCGCCAACAATGAGCTTGCCCTGCGTGGTATTTTTTCTGCTGGCGCCTCTGTGCACACTTCCGGAAAAATCGGACGAAAAAAATACAAAAAACCGGCCGGTTGCCGATCGCGCATTATAAGCAAAAACCGTCCGGTTCCGATTTATGGCCGGTCAACCGGTGCATCCCTATAGAAAACCACTTAATTTCTTTTCTTGTGTTAAATTATTCAATTACACACACACACAAAGAATAGAAAATACATTATAAATAACAATATAGTAATAAAAATATAAAGAAAAGAAAATGGCAATAGACAGAATTGTGAATGTGTGTATGTGCTATTTACAGATGAACGTTAATTAGTTATTTATAGTTGTACAGTCCTGAGGTGTTATGTGTTGTTCATATATATATCATATATATTAACAATGTGTATTTTTATGCAAGTACCTAAATAAATAAATATATATATATATATATATATATATATATATATATACACACACTTGCATAAAAATACAGTATTTTTATAAATACATTTTTATATTTACACTCTCCTTCATACAAATAAAGTGATAAGAATGGCTTCCAAAATGCCTTTAAAGTGTAATAAACAGCACATTAAATTCACTGTGACACCAACAATGTTGTTTCATTTTATATCGGCAGCAAAATCATAACCAATGATTTTGCTAATAATAATGGCACTTAACATCTTACAAGTTATCAAGCTAATGCTAATAAAAGAAAGCTGAGGCACCAGGATGAGAAGCAGGTAAGAAATCTAATGGAGTGGAAACGTTTTACCTGCCACAATCTCTGTAAAAGTCCCCAGGAGAGATGGGGCCGAATGGAAACAGGCCAATGTTACTGAATGTCACAATGCGTTTTCTTGTGTGTGTGTGTCTTTCTTGTTTGCGTTTGTGTGCACATACACAGTCATATTCAAATGTTTGTGCGCAAGCATGACAGTGAGATTTATCTCTCGTTAGATCCGTGCCTGCAGTGATCGTAGAATCAGAAGCGTGTCTTTTCCTCAAATAAACCTTGCATTTACCTTCTGGTTCAACCGCAGCTCACCAAGGAGGGTTTCTGTGCTAGAAAAAGTGGCTTTTTTGACTTCAAAGGTACAGTGCTGGGGGTCTGGCATGGCAGGGTTTGGTTTGATCACAGGTAGTGTAATTATGCCACTCCCAGAGCAGAGAACTGCGTCGAAACAGCCTGCAGCGAGCACGCTCTGCAACAGGATGCATTCCTCATTGACAGCAAGACAAGGAAATTGCCACCTAACCCCGACCACATGACAGGGAGAGAAGAACGCACACATGCAGGCGCACACAAACACACATGCATGACCCAGATCAAGGCAAACAGACACAATGCGCAAACAAAAAGCACGTATGCACATAGTGTTTCGCCGCCCACAAAATGTCAGTCGATAGTACGAATCCCGTCATTACAGGATTCTCAGAGAATCACTCAGAGCATCCGTGCGAGTTATGAGGGATTGTGTCATCCATTATTCAGTCTTGTGTAGCCATAAAGGCATCATGGGCGGGACGTGAGGACTATTGAATACCAACTTGTCCATGAATGAAGGTGTGATTTCACCACACAGTGTTTTACCCCATAATCAAACCTGTCTGCAGTAGGATTATGAGCTGTTTTGGTGCAGATCAAAGGGGTGTGTGTGTTTGTCTGTGTCTGTATGGACACGTAATGTGGGTAAATGTGTGTGCAAAGGTGAGACAAAGACGCAGCACGCCTAGCAGACAGTCGAGGAAATACAGAAGGGGGAATCCAAGCCATTTCGGCACTAATCCACACTGTCTCCTGCTGTGTCCCGTCAGAGTGAAAATGGGTTACTCACTTTGCTGTGGATTCTTCATCGTATTTAGTCTTCAGTTCATAGAGTTCTGCCTGAGTTGCTTCAAGTGCTGTGCAACAAATGAAATGCATGTCAGTAAAACAGGCTTAAAGAACTCAACTACATCAAATTACACATATGTAATTGTTAAAACACCCAACTTGACAGTGACTGCATTAGCAAACCTGTTTGTAAGGACTGCGTTTTCATGTCCAAGTCTTCTGTCCTGCTGTCCTGGCTCTGCTGTGGCTGACTGCATAGACATGCAGAGGACAATTAAAACAAATCTCCCAACATATATTAATGTACAGACAGGATAGCCACATTAAAGGCTGATTTATACTTCTGCGTCGAACCTACGCCGTAGCTTACGCATAGACGCACACCCATACGCCATAGCCTGACGTGCACCTCTCCAAAAATCTAACAGCGCGTCAATTCTACGCGGACCGCGAGCGCTGTGATTGGTCTGCAAGAACCCCTCCCTCCATATGAACTTGAGTTTTGTGTGCGTTTATGTGCACTTTTATATATTTTAATGTTACACCTTCTTACATAAAATAAATCAAAGCAAAGAACAAGTATCTTATCATTTATTATACTACATAGCATTATACATCAGTAGTTGTCCGCAACAAAAAATTTTGATCTGCCGTGGTACAAGTCCTTGTGCAGATTGAAAGAATGCCATCATCTCCTGTTCCGTTGTTGACTCCTTTTTGTAGTTTTAAATAATGATTAAATGATTTGATATTTATTTGCCGCATCACGGCTTTAATGTTTCTCCGACGAGCTGCTTATTCTTCGGCTTTTGCCATGGTACTGCGGGTTACACCAGCAACATGCCCGTGGACACTGCAGACTAGCGGTTTGCATGTGTACTGCATGTTGACACGGACAATGACGCAGAAGTATAAATGAAAACTGACGCATAGCCTACGGCGTAAAGGCTACGGCGTAGGTTCGACGCCGAAGTATAAATCAGCCTTAACACTGCAGTACTGCAAATTGATATGAATAAACACTAGATGCAGTGAATATGAATAAATGACCAGATGCAGTGATATTACATTTACATTTAGCAGACGCTTTTATCTAAAGCGACTAATAAATGAGGCAATAGAAGCAATCAAAACCAACAAAAAAGCAATATGTAAATGCTGCGACAATCAGTTAGTCTAAGGCAGTACACGTAGCACATAGTTTTTTATAATAAATAAAAACAAGACGAAAGAACAGAAAAAGAATACAGAACGCTAGTGTTAGAGGGTAATTTTTTTAAATAAATAAAAAGAAAAGTTGAAAGAATAGAAAAAGAATAGAGAACGCTAGTGTTAGAGGTTCCTTTTTTTTTAAATAAAAAGAAAACAAGTAGTAGAATATAAATAAAATAGACAGTGCGAGCTTTAGAGGGTCAAGTTTTTAAAAAATAAATAAATAAACAAAAGAAAACAGATGCAGTGATATTACATTTACATTTAGCAGACGCTTTTATCTAAAGCGACTAATAAATGAGGCAATAGAAGCAATCAAAACCAACAAAAAAGCAATATGTAAATGCTGCGACAATCAGTTAGTCTAAGGCAGTACACGTAGCACATAGTTTTTTATAATAAATAAAAACAAGACGAAAGAACAGAAAAAGAATACAGAACGCTAGTGTTAGAGGGTAATTTTTTTAAATAAATAAAAAGAAAAGTTGAAAGAATAGAAAAAGAATAGAGAACGCTAGTGTTAGAGGTTCCTTTTTTTTTTAAATAAAAAGAAAACAAGTAGTAGAATATAAATAAAATAGACAGTGCGAGCTTTAGAGGGTCAAGTTTTTTAAAAATAAATAAATAAACAAAAGAAAACAAATAAAATAGAATTGAGAGTTGTATAATATTTTTAACGTTTAATGACTAAATATTTCTGATGTGGACAAACAGCTATATTTTCAAAGTAAGCTTCATAGTGTTTATTAGTTTTATCTATTTTTAAGTTAGTTATTATATTTAGTTATAGTTATTTTTTCAGTTTTAGTTAGGTATCAAATTAAACTAAATGAAAATGGGAAATTAAATAAGTTTAGTTTTTTTTTTATTTCAGATATGCATTCAGAATTTAGTTACAAAGGCACCTATGATTCATGAAAAATGCTTTGCTAGCTCTGTGTTTATGGATGTCATTTCAAACATACATATAAAGCTCAAAATTGCTATCTAGGAAGGCAGCTTGCTAGTTTTCGAAACAGCCTATGAATTCATAACGCAATCATGAAGATCAATGGTGTATTGGATTTGTGCAACGGTCAGGCTAACCTCTCCTTGTCTGCATAGTTGTTAGGAAGGTTTTCCCCTTTGCTTTCCCTCTCTTCTCTTCCTGATCGGTCCTGGTTCTGATCGGGAGCTTCCTCTGTGTTCTTGGCCTGCAGAGAACGCTCATACTGCTCCAACTTCTCTTTAAGTGCTTTAATAGTGACTTCTGTAGGAGAGAAACAGAGAGAAGCATGAAAAAGACAGACAGTGGAGGCCAAAGGGTGTGTAGGGTTTAGGTTTTGTCTACACTGTGGGGGCCAACTGTCCCCCAAGGATAGTAAACCCTGAAATTGGCCAAGAGGAAAACCACTTAATAAACATACCAAATTACATCTTTAAGGAACAATTCACCCAAAAATTAAACATCTGTCATCATTTACTCACCCTCAAGTCATTCCAAAACCATATAGCTTTCTTTCTTCCATAGAATACAAAAGGAGCAATGAAGACTGTGGTAGTTACAATGAATGGGGACTGAAGCTTCAAAAAGACATAAAAGCATCATAAAAGAAGTTCATATGACTATATTCCAATTCTTCTGGAGTCATGTGACAACTTTGTGTGAAAACAAACCAAAATTTAAGTCATTTTTCACTGAAAATCAGACTCAATGTGCAGTTCTCGAGGTAACAGCCCACTTGAGGGAAGATTATCAGTGAATAATGTCAAAAATAGAAGTCAGTTTTTCACCCAAAGCTACTGTATGACTTTAAATCCAGCACACAAGTCATATGAACCACTTTTATCATACATTATTGGAGCCTTTTCATCATTTTTGAAGCTTGAAATCTCAAATAGCAATTCATTGTAATGGCATGGAAAAGAGCAACCAGCGCATTCTTTGAAATTGCTTGCTTCCTGCTCTACGGTAGGAAGTCATTTGAGTTTGAAACAGTTCCAGGTGAGTAAATTGTATGTTCATTTAAAAAATAAATGCTAAATCAAGAGGGTTACATTTATGGTTATTTATAAATGAGGGTAAGAATAGAAAATGTCATTAGCTCAGTATAAATACAACTGAAGTCAAGGGAAAGTCCCCCCATGATAGAAAAATGTGTTTACACATGCCTACACACACACATCCACACAAAATATCCCTGATAGAGAGCTTTTTCCTCCTCTCTCCGTCTCCTGCACAGCCATCTGCGGTGATTTAAACTCCAGCACTTCAGCTCTGACACATAATCAATGAGCAGCAGTCCCACAAGAGCCCTTTTAGACCCTTAAATGCTAAACTGGACTTTAAACACTGGGAGACTGGAGGATCACTGACCTGAGAAAGATCAGCGTGTGGAATAGGAAGGATTACCTAACGGACGGCTCAGACGGAAACACACCTGTGTGTATTGCCGTTATTGAACTGCATCGATTAGGGGAATTCCACAGATGGTGAGGGAGCGATCCCTCCCTCTTGTTTACGTTAAAAAAAGAAAAACCAGGAAACATATCTGGCTGAAACAGCAGTGGGACAGAAATAGAGCTCAGATGACTACAGACGACTACTACCTATTTTTTTGAACAAAAATAGGGCCCTGTCTATGTACACTTATGCGGCCTGCCAACATGACATATGCGTAACTCATTTAATTTGCTAGGTGCAGATCAATTCTGCTTTACAAAATAAAAATGCTTACAAATTTCCATTATGTGTGAATTTTGATTCATCAGGAAGTAATGTAGGTATTTAATACAACTTGATTTAATTCATTAGGATTTGATTGTGAAAAGAAGGCAGAATGATTAATACATAAAAAAATTGTAATACTATGAAAAGTTATTACAATTTAAAATAACTTTTCTATTTGAATCTATTTAAAAATTTAATTTATTCCTGTTATAGCAAAGCTGAATTGTAATATTTAATATTATTATATTAATCATTTTTGTGGAATGTAATACACGACGATTCAAAAGTTTGGGGTCAGTAAGATTCAAAAATAAAAAATAAATTAATATGAAATTGATTTTTTTTTTAAAGTGCAGTAAAGACATACAATGTTTCATTTATAATGTTTAAAATATTTAAAATAGAAGTTGTTCACTGAAGTCTATTCATCGGTCAAATAGTACTAAAAAACAATTCTCCACCAATTCTCACTGTTAACTAATTGCTTATTAGCATGCCTATTATTAAAATATTGGCTGTTTATTAATACTTATAAAGCACATATTCTGCATGACCATATTCTACATCTCTAATCCTACCCAATACCTAAACTTAACAACCACTTTACTAACTATTAATAAGCAGCAAATTAGGAGTTTATTGAGGCAAAAGTTGTAGTCAATGGTTTGTTAATAGCGAGAACTGGACCTTAAAATAAAATGTGACCAAAAATATATGTTTCATAGGCGACTGAAGTTCTACATGTTTCAGTCTGTAGAAAAAGTGTTTTGTTTTGTTTTTCTCCATTTCAAACTGCATTAATAAGCTGGTGGTTACCTTGGTTTTTAACCTCTGCAATTTCACGTTCGTACTCTTGTAGTGTATCTTTGAGCTTCTGGTTTTCTGTCTCCAAGTCGTGCATCTTCCGAACAGTCACCTGGAGTTGCTGAGCTGCCTCCAGAGTCGAGACAGGATCTGAAACACACATCCGCACACAGGTCAGAATATCGGGTGTACTGCGTTCAGAGCAGGTGAAAGGTTCGATTCAGTGAGTGAGAGCTCTGTGTGGGCCAGTCTCTGTGCAGCTCGACTAAATACCTAAAAGTGTTTTTGCATTTTTGCGGATTGCCAACCGCAGCTAAAAATGTTAACTAGAAAAACAAACCAAGCCAAAACACGCCAATAAATCCACACTGTGCTCCAGCACCTCGGTTTAAATTCTGCTCTGTTAAATCACGCTAACAAAAAAGAACCAAAAAGAACTGATGTTATCATTGATTTTATACATGATTTTATACATGTTTTCTGGACATGTACCATGGTCATCACAATTTGCTGCCAGAGCAAGGCACTAACAATAGTAATTTAAAAACAACAATGCACTAAATAATAATTATAATAAATAATAATAATAAATAATAATATTAATTAATGCACACTAAAATTAAATGCCAATATTTACTGAATATTTGCAAAAAAAACTTTATTATATATTGAAAAAAAATTAAACGTCTCCTTTAAAAGTTAAGAATAAAAATAATCTGACATCTGTGTAACCACCACAATAAACCTGCATTTACTTTCCGTACCCACTGTATATATATATATATATATATATCTCAAATATGAATGAAAATGATAAACTATTATAATAAAGAATATAAAAATTCATTATAAAAACTAGGGATTATATAAAAATTAGGGATATATATACTTTAAAAAAGATTTATTAAATATTTAAATATTAAATTTTAAAAATAAATATATTAATGTTTTATATATTATATATTTTATATTAAAAATAGAAAAAAATAACAATTATTATTTCTTATAAAATGAATAAATAATTAAATAAGGTTGACAAATTGATTCATTCAAATGCCGGCAACAATCACCAGCTGCAGAAATGTCAGATTAGCAGGTTGTAAAAGAAGTTATACTAATTCATATTTGGCTGGGTGTTCATTTCTTGCTTTCATAAAGGGAAGGCGATGCTAAGTGATGGGGGGCCGAACGCAGCAGTGGTGTGGGACCAAGGCCAGCCCTCCGTACTGAAGGACTAAGACATTCTGACACACACACACACGCACGCGTTTTTTTATTACTGTCTGTCCCCCTCAAATGCTAATTGCTATATGACTAATTATGGCCCTGTTCCCGTTGATTTTCCTTAATGAGACAGCCAAGTTAATTATGTAATCAAACTATTTTATTAGCCCCTGCGGAACATGAGAGCGCGAGAGAGAGGTTGTGAGAGTAAAATCAGAGAAGGAAAAGCTGACAGAGAGGAGTGTAAAATAAAACATGTCATTCCTGTACACGTTCTATGTGAAGCTATAGTCGAGATCGCAGTTTTCTGCGCACATCCCTCCCCCTCTCTGTATTCTCATATGAAGGTACAGGAAATGCTGATGGGGTGTGTTATGTGTGATGTGCATGTGTGGTGCGTGAGAGTGTGTCATATCTAAAAACTGCAAGAGGAAGTCTGAATGATATGCTGTCATGGTGTATTCCCTTTTGTAGCCGTGGCAACTGCCATTTCAGCTCAACTCGGCTCGATGGGCGGCCACGCGTCGCTCAATTCTGAACGTGACTGTCATCATGTGACTGAAATGACCAGCCAATTTAAATCTGATTTACACAGGCACATCAATTTGGATGCGTGTCATTTGATGTACAACATAACACCGCAAGCACAATCCGTTCGGTTAGGTTGGCATCTGAAGCTAAACTGAAGTCAAGTGCTGGGCGGCCTCACTGTAGGAAACTAAGAAAAGACAAGTGGGAACATTCAGATGCTTTAAAATCTATTACAGCATCTATGAGACACATTCAGTCTCTAAAAGCAAAAAAAACCAATAAAAAAACATTAAAATAATCCTAAAGTTGAACCCTAAAATGAAAGCGACAACTGTGTTTAAAAGCAGAGTGAATCCTCTAAAGTATTGTTACAGTGTGAACAGAAGACTGGAGTCACTCCTGAAACTTTTTTTTTTTTTAAGTTAGTGATTATAATGGCAATGTTTTGACATCTTGTGGGTGTAAACAGGAAACACAGATATATCATCTCATATTTATATACACAGTACAGAGTATATACTTTTTTAGGAGTGAATTTAGTTGTGATCTAGGGTTGGGCCGATAGACGATGCCATCGTCCATCGCTGATGGCTGACAGACATCGTGATTCCTTCCCCACCACCCCCTCTCCCGCAATCCGCCGCATCCCAGTTCCATGTTCGGAAAGGAAATGAAGTGTACTACAGAAACCCTAAAGGGAATAAATAGCCTACGAGATGGGAGTATAAAAAAAATGATTCAATACTTTTTTTCGCAATTATATCATTGGGTATGTATAGGCGACTGTATATAAATTGCGGGCATCAGGGAGCCGCTATTGAAACCGCTTTCAATTGCGCGCTCTCATTTTACTTTCACTTTCACTTTTGAGATTCGTGATCACAAGGACTCTATACTATGGAGCGGCAGTACTTACCACACATTTGACAAGATTAGATGTTTGTCATTGGTGCTCAGGATCTGCAAATCATTCGCCATCGTCATATCAGACATTTCTCCTTACTCTGTGTATGTGAACTTTCATGTACTGTAATGCAACAGGCTACTGCTAGCAAGCGGCTAACCTTTTAGTGGCTCCGTAGAACGCATTATTTGTTTCACGCTTCGGGCACACCCCTAACCCCCCCCCCGATGTCATCGTCCATTACGATGTTTCACTGTAGACATCGTCCGATGCCAATTTGGTAGACATCGCCCAACCCTATTGTGATCCCATAAATATTGAAACTCGGTGTGAACAGAACTAAAATTCTATATGTGTGTGTGTGTGTGTGTATAATATAAAATATATCTTATAGCATTGATATATTTTAGATATTTAAATTTTAGTTTTATTTCAGCTTTACTTTAATTAACAAAAAACGTTTTGAATTTTTAACAGTTTTACTTAACAGTAACCGCCACCACTAAAATATAGTAAAAAAATGAATATAATATATATAAATATATATCAATATAACATTTTTAATTAAAATAAAAGTGAAAATGCGGTTAGTAAAAATTAACTACTAGCCTGACTGAATCAACAAAAAAAATTTGGTCCTGTCTAAGTTATTTTACATGGATTTTACATTAATGCGTCTCATCCAATCAGTGTTCAGAAACTTAACAATATTCACAATGTATTTTATATACAGCATATCAGTCTTGTGAATAAGTTAAATGTTGGCATTAAATTGCCTGAAACACTTCCTAACATTCCCGCTAACACACACACCTACACGGTGTACCAGTGTAACTATCACAAGATAATTTGTCAAGCTGTGATCACATTCGCAGACACATAGACAGGACTGGACAAGCTCCAGATTTCACAGATTGAAACAGACATTCCCAGACTAGACCTCCCAACTCTAACATCCTGCAACAAACACACACACACATACAGCTCCCTCTCAAATACACAAAATGCACTTGCGCACATTTCCAAACACACAGACACGCCATTGCTTTGGCCCGGGATCTCCATACCACAGCATTGTGGTAATTTAGGGATGTATTAAGTAGTTGTGCAGGCAGACAGTCCAACCTGCTCCAACAGGCCCAGACGGCACTGTCTGTCTGTCTGCCTCCCTGTCGCTCAGCAGATGTGGGCGGAGCTACACAGTTAGATTTGTGTGTGTGTGTGTGTGTGTATCTGAGGGAGCTCTGAAGGTTTCCCAAGCTGAAGTTTAGTTCAGCCAAAATTCGTCTCTCTCACCACCCCCCACAGTCGCACTTGCTTAACAAGGGTTTGATACATTATCCACACTCTCTTGTGGTGAACTTCGCTCAGTCTAAAGCACAACTCTATCGAGCGGCCGAGCTAAAGATGCTTCGAGATATCACATGAACCTTTGCGGCACCATTAACTTATTATAGATCAGCGCATCAGAACATTACCATCTAAAAACTGAGGATCCAGGGGCCATTATCTCACCGTTAAAAAGCCAATTCGGAAGATTAAAAGGTGTTTGTGGGGCAATGAATGCGGATTTTATAAGAATTCAAGTTCCTCCGTGTGTGGGGTTTGGAACGAAGTGGGTCTCTAAAGCCGTAGAAGTCATTAAGACGGCCTGTGTGCGTACATGTGTGTGTGTTTTAGACACTAGAGACGGAGGTCTCATAAATATGACTGATGTGTTTACAGTATTCTCGCCTCAGTGAAACACTACAGCAGTGTGTGTGTGTGTGTGTGTGTGTGTGTGTGTGTGTGTGTGAGAGAGAGGAGAGAGCAGAGAGCGCGCGCAAACACACACGGGACACATCAAGTTCCTCCGTGTGTGGGGTTTGGAACGAAGTGGGTCTCTAAAGCCGTAGAAGTCATTAAGACGGCCTGTGTGCGTACATGTGTGTGTGTTTTAGACACTAGAGACGGAGGTCTCATAAATATGACTGATGTGTTTACAGTATTCTCGCCTCAGTGAAACACTACAGCAGTGTGTGTGTGTGTGTGTGTGTGTGTGTGTGTGTGCGTGAGAGAGCAGCCAGCTCAGAGCGAGCCGAAACATACCTGGGACATCGATTAATCTCTTGTACACGCTGAGGAAAGCAGCCTCTGATTCTTTACTTCTTTTACTCAAGGCGTCGATCTGAAACAATGAGGGAAAAAAACACAATAACTGAATTGCGTGCGCTTGGAACCGCAGGCCCGGTAATTGCATTAGCAACCAGGTTGAAATTTGCATACATTAGCAGCAATGACGAGTCCATTAAAGATGGCCATATGGAAAACAGCCTAGAAAAAGAGATTTCGAACTCACACGCACACATTACGCGCATCACTTACCACCTATTCGACCTAAATAAAACAGCTAAGTGTACATAACAGTGACCCTTTTCATTCACACACGGTAAATCATTTATGTTTTGACGCGTGCAATATTTTTCCAAGTGCTAGGTCGAGGCATTTTTGGGGCATGCTTCAGGTGTATATGCTGGGGCTGTTTCTGGTTCGCTTTATATAGAAGGTAATTATCAGGTATAAATCCAAATCCTGTGAGCATGAGATGACAGAAACAGGTAATGAGGGACTCTGATAATGAGAAGAACTTTTGGCCTTAATATAGAGCGCCGCAGACGCGTACGTATGGGCAAATTACATACTGTATCTGGGTTACGGCTCCCACTGCAAGGAGAGGCCTTCATCATTTCCTGAAGATAGATGATTTTCAGAACGGAGGCCACAGTCACTGAGGTTCCGCCCACTAACTTAATCTAACTGTCAATTTGCCGAAAGATGCACAATCACGGCCATACGGATGTCAATAGAAGGCAAAGCAGATTCAAAATACTCTTAATATTTAACAAAAAAGGTTCCTACTTGAGCTTCAATCATAACACGCAAACGTAAAAAATGTGTTAACTTTTGATAAACTCCCCCGTGGGATTATAGGAATTAATTACAGAAATAATATAATTAATAATAATAATAAATAATTAACTAATTTAATAAAATAATATTTGCAGAAAATAAAAAAAACTGCATTACTTATTGGTACATTTTTACTAGCAGTATGCTCATAATGAAGACATAGGAAATATCACAGCATATATGAAAATATACACTGTCAATAACCTAGAATTACAGCAGAATCATTAGAATAAGCCTCTGTAAGCCTCCGCCTTCCAGGGTTTCACTGGGACAGATGACCTTATTGACCCTTTGGTGGCAATGTATGACAGCTGGAACAAACCCAGTGCAAACCCAGCACCATAACACACAACAACAGGGAAAGAAAGAGCGAGAAAGTACGAGAGAAGAGGGAAAGGTAGTAATATAGACTCTTCAGTTCACACAGCTCTAATAAAGACACTGATCTCTCTTAATCTGAATACACACACAGCTGTGGTGATTCTGGCCAGATTATGATACATCATCCAACTGCCTTCTGTTATGGTATGACCAAAAACTACCCTGTTGGTACCACCTTGTCAACATAACGTTATTTTGCTATTGATTTCGATACATGTGATGTTAACAGGTTGCTAAGCTAAAAGGGTGATTCTCTAATAATCAATAAGAATAAAACAGTGTACATAAATACTGGGTGTTTTTTTATTATTTTGTCTAAATAAACTGAAAGTAAAGCATTAAAATCAATTGTTTTAAACGCTAGAAGAAAATTCAGGAAACCCAATATCAAAATGCACAGTATGAAAAATTATATTAAGGTAATATATTTGATAAAATATCATATTGGGGACTGCTTGCTCCAGAATGGGTATGATTCTTGGCTAAAATGAGGTATCTTATGAGGCAGCATAATTAGGTTGCCTAACTTTTGGGACAGCTTTTGAGTTGGAACCAATACTGCTTCTGTAGGCAGTTCACTAGGTTTTGGAACAGTACAGAAACAGTATTTCAACCCAATGTAACACTTCTCAAGTTGCTGAGAACTGCATTTATCAGTGTCTTAAAAATGTGACAACCAAAGGCAGGAGAAATGTCTTGGATCGACACATCAGAGTGATTGTCTTCAGTAGGGTGTGGTGAACCGCATATAGAAATTATAAAATGCCATGGCAGCACTTTCCCACCGTGTGTCTCTGATGATGACAGCGTGCTGTAGAACCAGCATGCAGTCTGGCCCAACTGGGCCAAATCTAACAAACTGGGTCAAACCTGACAGGAAACAAGGACCCAAATCAGTACGGCCTGTATACAGTAATTTAGGAGTGGCTAAAAACTGAACCAAATCTTCACCTAGCTTAACCCAAGTTCTGCATTCTAACAGCTGGAGCAAAGACCTGGAAAATTCCAGGACACAGACATGGGTGTGTGTTATGAGTTATAATTGCAGAGGAAAACCAATACAATATATATTTGTAGTTGTTTACCACTATAAAAACAATGTTATATCAAATATTAATACAAATGATAAACTATTATAATAAAGAATAAAATATAAAATTAATATAAAGAATATAAAATAAATTATAAAAAAATTATAAAAAATTCAATTCAATTAAAAATTATAAAATTAAATATAAAAATAACTGAAATTATTTTACTTTTTATAAACTATTAAAAATATTTAATAAAAAAAGTGTAAATACCACTAGAATATCATTACTCCATATATCAAATGTTTAAAATATATCATTATAAAATATAAAAAATAATATAACAAGACAACAATAAAAATGAACAATTAAAAAAAGTAATTACATAATAAAATTGTACAAGTACCACTAGTATATCATTATACTATAGTAAACATTGCTAATTATAAAACTTAAAACATTACTAGATGCTAGTTATTACCTTAACTTTAACAATTAAAATAACTAAATTAAAATAAAATAAAAACTAAAATTGAAAATTGAAAAATCTGAAAAACTAACAATAATGGGTATGAAAACAATTGACAACTATAAGAAAAATTTTAATTAAAATAGAAATAAATATAAATTAAAATGCTCTAATATTCTAAATACATCATAACTCAGGGCTTTTCACCATTCTTGTACTCAGAACTTGAAAGATTTCTTAAAACTCATGCTGCGTTTATCAACATTTTGCAACATTTTGTCACATAAATTCATAAAATTCAGAGTTTCCAAGTTGTAATTAAAAGTTTGACGAAGATGCGAGCGGTTTTTACAAGATGGGAACTTGTAATTACGGTAATTCGGACATGATGTGAACACAGCATCAGACCCTCCAGGCTTCTTCAAAATACTACAGCTCAAAGTCTTCAATACCTCCTGCAAGTGTCAGTCTTTCTGAGCCTCACCAAAACGGCAGTACCCCACACCCAAAAACAATGTGGTCTGAATCAACAGTATTGCTTTTATCCATTAAGAAAATGTTGAACTCCTGTGCTGTTTACATGTTCACAAGTGCTGTGTGTTTGGTCTTCCAGCAGCGGAACATCAAATAAAAGCTGTAAATCTGCAGCCCTGAGACTGCCGTCCTTGATGGATGGAACAGGGCAGTTGCCACTGTAAATATCCAACATGTAACAGACTTTTCACTCCTATGGGAAAGAAATTAAACATTTTCAGATGTTTCTTGCCGGAAAACATCTGGATCGGCCCAGGCAGGGCCAAGTTCTGCAGCCCTCTTGCAGATGGAGCAATTAAACTTGCCTCTCTTTCTCTCTCTCTCACTCGGCACAGGTCCACGTCTACCCCTGAAATCCAGCAGGAACCCATGTCAATTTTTAAACTCTCAGAGCTCTGAACCAGACAGAGCACAGCCAGGAGGTTAAGAGACTGTAAGGGCTGCCTAGAAGCGGCGTGCGTGACTTTGCGGATACCGTCACAGCTCAGCGTAGATTATCTGCTCTTCTTTTACTCTGCTACCAGCTCAATCTGATGGCCAGGGCATCTGGCATCATCATGCTGTGGGACATACACACACAAAGTCATGCAAACAGCCTCACAGACATTATACCCTTCAGATATACTGTACACATACACCCACATATAGGGGTTAGCTGTCATGCATGAAAAGTTGTCACAAAAGTTACACTATCTTTTCTTTTGGTAAAGAAATTATTTATTTTATTCAACAAAAATGCACTAAATTAATCAAAAGTGACAGTATAGAAAAATCAATCCTGAAAAAAAACAATTATAGTTTCCATAAAAATATTAAGCAATGCAACGGTTTTCAATATTGAATAAGAAATGTGTCTTGAGCAGCAAATCAGCATATTAGAATGATTTCTGAAAATCATGAGACACTAAAGACTGTAGCTAATGGCTGCTGAAAATTTAGCTTTGCCATCACAGGAATAAATTACATTAAAAAATAATTTCAAATAGAAAACAGTTATTTAAAATTTTTATAATATTTCACAATTTTTTATGTATTATTGATCAAATGCAGCCTTGTTAAGCATAAGAGACTTTTTTCAAAAACATAAAAAAACTATTGAGCTTCTTTTTTCTTTACTGCACACATCTATACAGAAACAACCTAACCTAAGAAACATTAAATAAAAAGTGTGACAACTAGCCCCAGTTTCCCCTACATTACATTTTACACCAAACACACATGTACACAAACAAACACAGCCAGTTCCGCCCCTTTGAACCGTACAACACACAGACTATCTGGTGGCATCAAAAGCATGCCAGTTTAAACAGCATTATTCCCTTACGGTCCAGCCGGAACAGGGATTGAGAAGGGTGGGGGAAACGGTTATAAATAGCTCTTGTTTCAGTGGGGGAGCACAGACTTGGCACTGCTGAGAGCAGAGTCAGAAAACTCCATCAGTTCTACTGACCTGCATCGCCCTCCAAACAGACGACCAGCTTTCAAACATATTTGACCCTCGAGTTTCTTTTACTTGTTTTTTTTCATTTTGCCTCTTTTGGTAGACTTAGAGTGGCAAGAAATTATTAAGGAGGGAAAGGATTGGCGCACGCTGTAGATTCAAACCTACATCATCCACATAAGCACCTAGGCTAAACGTGTCAGAAGAACATGCATCCAAAAATGCTAGGTGATTACCTCTACATAAACAGATTCACAACCTACACACATAGACTTTAACTTTGTTTGCCTGCATATATAGACAGTTTAATGATCTCAGATTAATCCACCATTGGATCCAAAGTTATTTATCTGAGCTGCCAC